GCATTTTGATGATGATGTGTCTTGGTGTGGGCCTCTTGGGGTTCATCTTGTTGGGGACTCTCAGTGCTTCCTGGACTTGTATGTCTGTTTCCTTCACCAAGTTAGGGAAGTTTTCTGCCATTATTGTTTCAAACAGGTTTTCGATTTCTTGTTCTCTCTCTTCTCCTTCGGGCACCCCCAAGATGCGAATGTGGGCACGCTTGAAGTTGTCCCAGAGGCTCCTTACACTATCCTCATTTTTTTGGTTTCTTTTTTCTTTTTGCTGTTCTGATCGGGGATTTTTTGCTTCCTTATGTTCCAAATTGATGGTTTGCTCCTTGGATTTACATACTCTATTACTGAAGCTGTGTAAATTATTCTTTATTTCAATTAATGCCTCCTTTAATTCTAACTGTGTATCCATGATTTCTGACTGGTCCTTTTTTATGCTCTTGAGGCCCTCCCTAAGTTCACTGAGGTTCTCACTAAGTTCATTGAGCATCCTTATAAGCAGTATTTTGAACTCAGTATCTGTTAGGTTGCTTATCTCATTTTCGCTTAGTTCTTTTATTGGGGTTTTGTTCTGCTCTTTCATTTGGGACCTGTTTCTTTGTCTCCTCATTTTGGCTGCCTCCCTGTGTTTGTTTCTGTGTATTACTTAACGAGAGGTATGGGGCTCGCTGAGACCAGATGCTGCTCATTTGAAAGAATTTAGGAAAAACCTGAAGCAGGATCTAAGACCGGCTAATCCTATGGTTAAGCAAGTGGCAACAGCTTGCGTGGGCTTGAATGTTGTGTGGGGTGGGGCGGGGCCTCAGGGAGTCAGCAGGGCGGGGCTACCAGTGTGAGCCAGGTTGCTGGAGTCCCAGATATGGCTTCTGTCTGCCGCCCCCGGGAAGGGCTCCCCAAAGGAACAAAGGCGTCTTACAGCACGTTTGTCCTGGAGGAAGCCCCCTCTCCAGCTTTCGCTCCAGTGCCAAACAGCTCAGTTCTTCCCTGTGTGTCTCTGGCGCCCCTCGAGCTGCCTCCCCTCCAAGCTTACAGGGAGAGAGTCCGATAAGTCCGTGCGCGGGCCCTTTAAGAAGCTGCCTAGGGCTCCAGCCGCCTCAGCCTCCCTGAGCCTCAGTTCCCGCTCGTTTTTCCAGCCAGAAGTTATGGGGACTTCTCTTCCTGGCACTGGAACCCTGAACGGGGCACCTGGTGTGGGACGGGGACCCCTCAGTCCTCAGGAAGGACCTTCCCAGCCACGGGAGCCTCCTGATTTTTATCCACCACACGCGGCCTGTCTTGCCGCCGCCCCTCCTACCAGTCTGGATGTGGCTGCTGATTTAATTCCGTAGTTGTACGACTTCCATTCAGCTTGATTTCAGGCGGTTCTGAATGATGGTTGTTCTGTAGTTTAGTTGTAACTTTGATGTGGTTGTGGGAGGACGCGATACTGCGTTTACCTACCCGCCATCTTGACCGGAAGTCCCCCTGGCCTTTATCTTTTTAAACACCCTCCATCATTTCTCGGTTCCTCTCTTTGATTTAGCTAATCCTTTCCTCCATCTGGTGGGCTGGGTTTCCTGTTCTCAGTAGTTCCCTCCTAACCTCCTTAATTGCATGCTACATTTCCAAGATTTCTGATTGGTTCTTTTTTAAAGTTCTGTTGTTTTTTTGTAAAGTACGCGTTTTGTTCATTAATGTGTTTTCTGAGTGAATGGAATCACCTGTCTGTGTCTTCTTGCATCTCACTGAGTGTTTGCCGAACTCAGTGTAGCTTCTCTGTCATGTATGTGCCATGGTTCCATGTGCTGCGGCTTCCCTCCTGGACATTTTTTCATTTAGTTTCTGAGCTTCTTCATTACCATGTTTATTCATGGTATCTGCTGGTCTCTTCCTTCTAGGCGTCTGTGGTTGACTTTTCTCTATCAGTTTTCTCTGAAGAGGACTTTCTATCATTTTTTTTTTTTTATCCTCACCCGAGGACATTTTTTGCACAGATAGAGTGGGAGGGAGAGAGAGGACGAGAGAGAGAGAGAAACATCGATGTGAAAGGGACACATCGATTGGCTGCCAGCCGCACGACCAACCAGGGCCGGGGACAAACTGCAACCGAGGCACATGCCCTTAGCGGGAACCGAACCCGGGTCTCTCCAGACCGCAGGTCGACGCTCTAACCGCTGAGCCAAACCGGCCAGGGCCTTTCTACCATTTTCTAGTAGGAGGCGCTGAATCACCAAATGTTGAACTCTGATTTTTCAGGGCTGACCTCAGCTTCATCAGGTACTGTCGCCATGGTACTTGGGATTGGGATTTGTTTTGCTGTCACTGCAATGGTGACCCTGGACCTTCTTGGGTTCCCCCAACACACCTCACTTGGGCATCAATCACAGAGGGAAACATCGATTCTGCAGTAGCTCTTGTTTTCTCAGATACTGTGCTCCTGGACCTGACACCACAGGCATCTGGAAGTGCGTTTTGGGAGTCCTAGAGGAGGCAGGGCTCTGTGGCTTCCTTTCTTTGTCTGAAACACCTCCCCCCGATCGTCGACTCCCAGGGCGGAGCCATTATGTTCTGTTTCTGCCCTGATGTCTGTAACGGGCTCAGCTGCTATTTGCAGGGCTCACCCTGCTGGAGAGCCCACTGAGACTTCATTCCTCCGGCCACAAAGGCATCTGCTACCAGCAGCTTCTTGCTGTCTCTGATCCGAGCTGCTCGCCAGCTCCCGACCACAGGGCTGCATCAGTGGTTGAGTGACATCTGTAGCCGTCTGAGCTCTTCTCCCTTCTTGCCTCCCCTTTTATCCGTTGCCCACCTTCAGATCCTTCAAACTGCTAGTCTCTCATGCTTCTACATTAACCAGGGACTTCTCTCTTGAGTTAGAGTTGATTAAGTTGTTGAAATTTATTGGGGAGAGGCCAACGTGATCTCTCTCACTATCATTCCTCTGACATGACTCCCCACCTCTTGAACTATTCATTTTTTACATAAGTCATCTACTCCTTGTCACTATTCTCTGTGTCAGGCCACTTGATATACAAAGTGGTCAGTTTGTTCGTGTCCCTTGAGACTCTGAGGTTCTCTTTCTTTTTCTAAAAAATTTTTTCTTTATTGATTTTAGGGAGAGGGAGAGAGACAGAAACTTTGATGCGACAAAACATCCACTGGCCGTCTACTGAATACCGTTTACTGACGGTCTGGCCCACAAACGCCACGTGTTCTTTTTTTTTGTTCACTGAGGCATTATATTTCCACATGTGTATTACATCCCTAAGAAAAGAATCCCAGGATTTTCCCTCCTGTATGTTTTTGTCTTGCTTCTTCATGGTCCATGATGCCCGCTGAGGTTGTCAATACAATGAAATTAAACTGACGGGATGCAAGTAGGTTGTTCTCCCATTTTTCTAGATCTTTGAGTTGCACATCAAATCTGGGGCTTGTTACTCCACCCTTGTTCAATCGGCCCGTAAGGTTCATAACAATTTTCCCAGCTCTGTGGTCATCAATAATTTCAGATTCGCCAATGTAACCACGCTTCATCATCACAGTTAGAGACTGGATGATGACTTTGGAGCACGGCCTAATAAGAACCTGGCGTTTGCTTCTCTTTTCAGCATTGTTGATACTCTTCAGAGCATCAGCCAGGTCATTCCTGCGCACCATTATGGCGGCACGGAAAGATGGCAGAAAGAGCTCGGCACGTGTTCCGACAGGGAATTGATCTGGACACATTTTGGTGCATGTGTAGATGGTCAACCATTGAGCCACACTGACCAGGCTACGTTCTCTTTTTTTTTTGAATCCTCACACGAGGACATTTTTTTCCATTTTTTGTTCAGATAGAGTGGGAGAGGGGGAGAGAGAGAGAGAAACATCAACGTGAAAGGAACACATCAAGTGGCTGCCACCCACACAACCCAACCAGGGCCGGGGACAAACTGCAACCGAGGTTCGTGCCCTTACCAGGAACAGAACCTGGGTCTCGCTGGATCGCAGGCCGACGCTCTAACTGCTGAGCCAAACATTTTTGTTGGCTTCCCTGTATTGAAATTTCTAATGCTCTATGTACAAGTTCATTGATTCTCCATTTTTGGTCATAGCTTTCATTGTTGATTGTACTGTATTTTTGATTTCGGGTAGTGTTTTTTTATTTTTTATTAGCTTCCTATTTTTATTTGGTTCATTTTTATATTGCCTTTCTTTGTATTTTCATTGTGATCATGCACAGTTTTTTTGATATGTAGTTGTTGGTTTTGTCCACTTTTCCAATTTAAGATGGTTATTTTTAGTCCTATTTTAGGCAATTAATGTATTTCTGTTAATGCAGTACCAGTTTCTGTAGATTTTTTTCATTGGATTTTGTTTTTCTGTTTCTCTCTGTCCTGATATCTTTTTTTGTGGTTCCGGAATTTAAAGAGCCGGGGTTTCTAAACTTGTTTTTCATAAGCAAAAACAAATCCCAGTTATCTGTTGTAGAAATTCTAATTTTTATGAAAACAGTTTTGGGGCAGAATATGTGTAAGTTTTAAGTTTGACTTTTTTTTGTATCTGTTATTTAAACCATGATATATTTCTGTCCTCGATATCGGTCTTTGCTATTGCAGTCTCTGAAGTGTTTGAACAATGACTGTCTTTTTAGCAGCCATTGCAAAGCATTCGCCATGTACTGAAATTGTTTTAGAATTCTGCCACGCAAAACAGAAAAACATTCTTCACTATGCTGGAAGAAAGTAAGATCTTTGAACAGGCATTACTCTCTTCTCTGTCTCTCCACACAAGAAACTGGGAATTGGGAGCTGTCTTATACTATTGCTACTGTGTGCCAGGGGTTTTGAGCAGGTATCTTTGGCAAATGTAAGCAACTTTTTGTCTCTCTCAGATGTCACTTTTCCTCATTGTGTCTTTGTTGGTCTTGCTTTGAGTACTGAACTTGCTTTGGGAGTACTCAGAATGTAATTTGGTCAATAATTGCTGGTAAGTTCAATGTACATCTACCCGAGTGTCATGAATGTGAAACTTTATGTCATATCTTTCAGCTGTCTTATCTGAGGACAACGAGGCCTTTGTGCCAAAGCCAAAGCTGGAAGATTTATTCCCTGAAATAATACTGGTAAGATATGGAAGGTATGGGTTTTATAGTGTACACTTAGTGAGAGCCTTGGGATTTGAGGAAGAGTGTATGATGAGAAGGTGTGATAATATGGACAGAAGTAACCTGGGACTGTTGTATAATGAAATCCTTGTTACCTAAAGAGGTCAAAGATATTAAACATTTGGGAGTGCCCCCAATTTAGCTCAGTTACATCTGCAGATCAGTGTTCTTCTAAACTTGATGACCAAAAACAATGTGTTACTGTTATGTAATATATCAGAAATAGGGAAAATCTAGAGCTCACATCAGTGATGTTGCAAAGAATAATAAGAATAGTTTGCAGAGTTGTATGGGATTAAACTTTCAGTCAGTCCTTTCTGAAATTTAGTGATTTATCATGCACATATAAGATTTCAATGTGATCAGTTTTGTAACTTCTTTATTAAGGAATCATTATACTACCATCAAGGAATAATGTTTTTTGAAACAAATGTCTAATTTTTTAAAAGGTAGGAGTATTTTTTATTCACCTTCATGGTTTAATAGGTGTTACAGAATCGTTATTTGAGAATAAGTGTATATGTTTAAGGAAATTATAGCTGTCACTAAAGGCCTTTCTGTCTTCAATGATTTCCAGAGTGTATATAATGAAGACAGAAGTTATCAATGCAACGCACATGGGAAAAATGTTAACCAAGAGTCAAATCCTAATAAATATCAGAAAACTCAGCTTCCAGAGAACCATAATAAGGATGGAAAACTCTTTGACCAAATGTCAAATCCGAATATGCATCAGGTTATTTATTCAGTGGAGAAGACAAACAAACAAAGTAAATGTGACAAATCTTTGCAGCAATCTTCACGTCACACTGAACAACAGAATATTCATACCAGGGAGAGAGCTTACAAAGGTGATCCGTGTGGGAGAGTCTTCAGTCCAATGTTCAATCTAAATAGACTGATGGAAAGCCATACAGAACCAAAACGTTATAAATGTGGTAAAATGTTTAATTCCCCTCGCTATATTCATATACATGACAGAAGTCATTCGGGGGAGAGGTCGTATATATGTAGAGAATGTGGCAAAGCTTTTAGAGTGTCCTCATCTCTTTATCGCCATCATAAAATTCATACTGGAGAGAAGCCTCATAAATGCAAAGAATGTGGCAAAGCCTTTGGGTGCTCTTCATACCTTAATCGCCATCATAAAATTCATGCTGGAGAGAAGCTTCATAAATGCAAAGAATGTGGCAAAACCTTTGGGAGCTCTTCATACCTTAATCGCCATCAGAAAATTCATACTGGAGAGAAGCCTTATAAATGCAAAGAATGTGGCAAAGCCTTTGGGTATGCCTCAAGCCTTACTAATCATCAGAGAATTCATACTGGAGAGAAGCCTTATCGTTGTAATGAATGTGGCAAAGCCTTTAGAAGCTCCTCAAATGTAATTGTACATCAGAGAATTCATAGTGGAGAGAAGCCTTATTGTTGTACTGAATGTGGCAAAACCTTTAAAATGTCCTCAAATGTAATTGTACATCAGAGAATTCATAGTGGAGAGAAGCCTTATCGTTGTATTGAATGTGGCAAAGCCTTTAACCGGTCTTCCATCCTTATTACACATCAGAGAATTCATAGTGGAGAAAAGCCTTATCGTTGTATTGAATGTGGCAAAGCCTTTACCCAGTCCTCAGTCCTTACTGCACATCAGAGAATTCATCGTGGAGAGAAGCCTTATCGTTGTATTGAATGTGGCAAAGCCTTTACCCAGTCTTCCATCCTTACTACACATCAGAGAATTCATACTGGAGAGAAGCCTTATCGTTGTATTGAATGTGGCAAAGCCTTTACCCAGTCCTCAGTCCTTACTGCACATCAGAGAATTCATCGTGGAGAGTAGCCTTATTGTTGTATTGAATGTGGCAAAGCCTTTACCCGGTCCTCAGTCCTTACTGCACATCAGAGAATTTATCATGGACTGAAGCCTTCTGAATGTAGATAATGTGCTAGAGCCTTTAACGAGTGTTCAAAAGGTATGGGACATTAGAAAAGTTCATACTGGAGATAAATCTTATAGATGTAAAGAGTGTGGTAAAGTGTTCTACCAGCACACAAAATTTATACTGGAGAGAAGCCTTAGGAATGTGTAAAATTTAGCAAATTCTTTATACGCCATTCATGTGTCACTGTATATGAGAGAGTTCATAGTGGGGAGAAACTTTACAGATGTCAGAATGTGCTAAAGCCTCTCATTGGCAGTGGAATCCTACTAGACATGAGATTCTTCATTCTAGAGAGAAATCTTACAAGTGGCGAAAATGTAGCAACGCCCTATCAGCCCCTGAGAAGTTGCTGAACATCAGAGAATTCACTGTGATGCACACATTACAAATGTACAGAATGTGGCAAAACCTTTCATCACTCTTCATAATTTACTCATTTTTACATCATTCCTAGTGGAGAAATACCGTACAAACTTAAGTATTTTGGAAAAACCTTGTTTTTGCATTCATACCTTACTAATCATCAAATATCTCATTCTGGACAGAAGCCTTAGAAATGTGGACAATGTGGCTAAACTTTTGTGATTGATATCCTACATGACATGAGACGAATTATAGTGGAGAGAAGACTTTCATATGTAAACCATGTGTCACAGCCTTTAAATGACATTCATGCCTCACTGTATATGAGAAAGTAATATATACTGGATAGGAGCATTAGAAATAGTCTATCACATCGATCTTCCTGTCTCTGTCCTGCAAACATGTATGTTGCAAACTTCTTCTCATAGAAAGGAAATATCGATGGACATAATGGGAGAATTGACCTATTGTTATTTGTATTCTTTGTTTATTGTTACTAAGTTGTAGGAATTTGTCCAATATTAAGGACATGAGACCCTTACAGGATCTGTGATTTGCAGTTATTTTGTCCCATTTGATAGATTGTATTTTTACTTTTGTGATAGTATTCTGAGCAAAAAGCATAAATGTTGATGAGGATTGATTTATCTTATTTCATGTTTGACTTTTCTATTGTTGTTATATCTAAAAATCTACTGGGAAACTTAAGGTCATGAAGATTTAACCCTATGTTTTGTTTTGTTTTTTTTTTCCTCACCCGAGGACATTTTTCCATCTTTTGTACAGATAGAGTGGGAGGGAGAGAGAGGGAGAGAGAGAGAGAGAGAGAGAAACATCGATGTGAAAGGGACACATCGAGTGGCTGCCACTCGCATGACCAACCAGGGCCGGGGACAAACTGCAACCGAGGTACACGCCCCTAGCGGGAACCGAACCCGGGTCTCTCCGGACCGCAGGCCAACGCTCCAACCGCTGAGCCAAACTGGCCAGGGCTAACCCTATGTTTTTATCTCAGAGATTTGTATGTTAAGATCTTACCTGTAGCTCCCAAGTAGCTACCATCCCTTGGCTAAAGTGTAACCATTTTAATTCCAAACACCTTCTGAATGAGGGTCCCTAACTGAACACCACGGGTTTTGTGAGACAGATGTGCACTAAATAAAAATGCTCACTTTTAAAAAATGGGATTCATCACATATTTATAGTTTTTAAAATTTTTATTGAGTGACATTGGTTAATTATATGAGTTTCAAGTGTACTGTTGTATATGACATTGTCGCAATATTGTACTGTGTGTTTACAATGTGAAGTCAAGTGTCTTTCCATTCACATTTATCCTCCCCTTACCCTTTTCTGCGTGCCCACACCCCGAGTTACGTCTGCTAATTACCTTTCTACTGTCTATACCTATAACGGGATTTGTTGTAGTGTTGTTTTCCTTTATCCCCTCAGTATCCATTTTAAACAAAATTATGTGAATAAAGAAAAACTTCTCTATTACTTAGTTTTAACTGTGAACTTTCCATTGTGTTACAAATGATAAATATTTTATGAGTTTGAAAAGTCCTGACCTTTTTCTTTAAGTGCTTTCCTAAAATCAGGCAAAGAGTGCTTCCTCCATTGGTCTTTTCTATGGGTTCTTGGGCCTTTGTGAACATGAACACGTCACTGTGTATGCTGTCTCTAGAACTGGTTTATATGGTGCTGCAGGGGCATCCAGATGGGGCCCCTACACTGGTCCTATGGACCACCTTACAGATGGTGCAGAGCCTAGGGCCCATCTCTAAGCCCCGCCCTTTCCCAGGATGATCACCTAAAAGAGCCTCATTTTGAGTTCTCTGTCACGGCCTCATGCAGAGAGATGTGGTGAGGATGTTATTTTTCTTATGTAAAAAATAAAAGAAAACGATGTTTTCTGAATTTTCAGTAGCGTCATTTATACCATTAATTTTTAACTGGAAAGGGGAAATTCATGTCTACTATTGTGTTTGTGGTGTAGAATCTGAAGATGACCCTGGAAGGTGTTGGATGATCCAGAGCATATCTGTACACACACAAAAATCTCAGAAATTTTCTTTCCAAGAAGGGGCACCCTCTCTTCAGACTGAATTCAACTTTTGACATTTCAAACTGCTTTTACCCTAATACTTTAATGAGTTTTTGTTTCATTTTTATTAGTTTTTTCCTTTATTGATGTTTTTTCCTTATCCTCACCTAAAGATATTTTTGTGTTTATCTTCAGATAGAGCAGCAGGTAGGGGAAGAGAGAGAGAAACAATGAATTGAGAGACACAACGACTTGTTACCACCCACTTGACCCCAAGGAAATACCGCAACCAAGGTTCGTGCCCTTAGCAGGAACCAATCCTGGGGACAGTCTGGTCCGTGGCCCAATGGTCTAACCCCTAAGCCAAACTGGCCATGAGTCTCTATTGATTTTTTTTTTTCCCTCACCCGAGGACATTTTTCTATTTTTTGTTCAGAGTGGGAGGGAGAGAGAGAAACCGACGTGAAAGGGTCACATTGAGTGGTTGCCACCCACACGACCCAACCAGGGCTGAGGACAAACTGCGACCGAGGTACATGCCCTTAGCGGGAACCGAACCCGGGTCTCTCTGGACCGCAGGCTGACACTCCAACTGCTGAGCCAAACCGGCCAGGGCCTCTATTGATTTTTTTAGAGAGAGGGAAAGGGTGAGGACGAGAGAGATGCAATGATGAGAGAGAACATCGACTGGCTGCCTCCTGTGTGCCTTTCACTGGGGATCTGGCCCACAACCTGGGCATGTGCCCTGAGCAGAAATAAAAATAGTGACCTCTTAGTGCACGAGCTAACGCTCAACCAGTGAGACACTGGCTGCGTGGTGGTGTAACTTTTGCGTTGTGAAAATGTACATCAGGTCCCCTGGCCAGTTTGACTCAGCAGTCAGAGAATCAGCCTGAGGACCAATTACTCACAGGTTGCATATTGATCAAGGGCAGGCACCTCAGATGTCTGTCTCCAACTCGGGTCAGGGTCGTTCATGAGGCAGCCACTCCATGGGTCTCTCTCGCATCGATGTTTCTCTGTCTCCCTCTTTCCGTCTCTTCCACTCTATCTGAAGATATGTAGAAAAATATCCTCTGACGAGGATTAAAAACTAAAGTACGTAAGGTGATGACCTCAGGGACGTAATAAGTGCACCACAAACACGAAGAAAAGAGTTCCTTTATGTGTACGGTTCAATGAAGGAACTAGAATGACACAAGCTTGGGAACCGAATTCCTTCCATGTGTGAGCCTGCTATGGTCTGGTGTTTGAAAGTCAATTGTGAGGAAGTCAACCAACATACAATGAAGTAAATGGAAATCGAGTGTTGAAGAAAATAGAGGGTCTCCAAGGTTGCAGGTGTAGTTTGTAATGGGGAGACAGTCTCCTTTGCCAGGTGCCAGTGCGCGGTTCTGCCATTTCTTCCTGACTGGCATTCATATTCAGAGCCAACACATCGAGCAGGAAAAGAGGTTTTGGTACTGTTAATGTCGAAACTGACACCCAGTGTCCTCTACCTCGAAATTTTTCCCATCCCCAAATAAGTACATGTTTTGTTCATCAATGATAAGTTTTCAACTGCATATGATACCCTATGAGAAGGGGCCTGACTTCCAAATTAAAAGAACTGATTTGTAGGCATTTAAAGAATGACTGGGATTCATCCCCGACTCCTAAAACTTACCACTGGGAAATAATGTGAGGGTCACTTTGGCAAAATCCTGGAAAAGTCTAAATGGAGGACATGGCCCTAATGTCCTTTTCAATTTCTTTTTAAAAGTACTGAGAATTAAGCCCTGGCCAGTTTGGCTCAGCGGTTAGACGTCGGCCTGAGGTCCAGAGAGACCCGGGTTCGGTTCCCACTAAGGGCACGTACTTCGGTTGCAGTTTGTCCCCGGCCCTGGTTGGTCGTGCGGGTGGCAGCCACTCGATGTGTCCCTTCACGTCGATGTTTCTTTCTCTCTCTCCCTTCCTCTCTCTCCCTCCCACTCTATCTGTACAAAAAATGGAAAAATATCCTCGGGTGAGGATAAAAAAAAAAAAAGTACTGAGAATTAATAAATTTACTTTTAGAAAGGCAGGAAGGGAGAGAGGAAAAGAGGGAATATTGATCGATGTCCTAGTGCACTCCCTCTACTGGGGATCAAGCCTGCAATCCTGGCATGTGCCCTGAACAGGAATCAAACTGGCAACCTTATGCTGCCCAGAAGACACACTGGGCAGGGCCCTAATGTCCTTTGAAGTAACCTTTTAGTTGATTTAAATGGCTCCCATGAAGTTGCTCCTATAGAAAGATGTACTTTTGACCAGAAACCGTATTTGTTGCTCCTCTTACAAGGCCTTAGAAGCACAAGGACCCTAAATATATATTTGGAGATAAACATGTCTTGATTAAAAAGTGTGGGTGTAGCTAATGGAGAAGATCTTTGGTGCCACACAAAGTGCTATATTAAAAATATACTGGCCCTGGCCAGTTTGGCTCAGCGGTTAGAGTGTCTGCCTGCGGTCCGGAGAGACCCCGTTCGGTTCCCACTAAGGGCACATACCTCGGTTGCGGTTTATCCCCGGCCCTGGTTGGTCGTGCAGGTGTCAGCCACTCGATGTGTCCCTTTCACATCGATGTTTCCCTCTCTCTTCCTCTCTCTCCCTCCCACTCTATCTGTACAAAAAATGGAAAAATGTCCTCGGATGAGGATAAAAAAATATATATATACTGTTGTACTGTTTGGAGGTCTAGGGACTTGTTCTTGAAAAATCACTGTGACCGGGTAGAACTGACAAAAATTATTGGAAGTAGAAATATTTATTATTGGAAAGTACTAAGCCTCAGTGGATTGAGTATTGTCCCATGGACTGAGCGGTCCTGGTTGGATTGCTGGTCAGGGCACACGCCAGGGTTGCAGGCTCCATGCCTAGTAGGGGGCTTGCAGGAGTCGGCCCATCCCCGTTTCTCTCTCACATTGATGTTTCTATCTCTCTGTTTTCCTTTAAAAAAAAAAAATCAATAAAAACATTTATTTATTTATATCCTCACTCCAGTATATTTCTCCACGTTTTTTCCGAGAGAATGGGAGGGAGAGAGACAGAAACACCAACACGAGAGGGAGAGGGACACAACCGAGTGGTTGCCTCCCGCACGACCCAACAGGACCCCCATCAGGCCGGAATGGCCACAAGCTGTGTGTCCCTGACCGGAAGGGGACGCGGGACTCCCTGACTCGCAGGCCAGTGCTCTCACCGCTGAGCCCTACCGGCCAAAGCAATGCAGTTGTATTTAAGAGAGTCTAGGACCAGCCTTCCAGTTCGCTCCTCCCCCCTCCCCGGCTCCTCCCACACCAGCCTCTAGGCTCCGCCCACTGCCCGCGTGCGCTCCGCCTCGTTTCCGGGCTCACAGATTGGAGGCAATGCGCTTGCGCGGTTTCTTACATTCCCGGAAGCCAGGAGTGAGCGCGGAGGTCTCACGGGTCTTGTAGTTTGGACCATCCTGGTTCCAACCCCGTCCCGGGAGCTCTGGTGGCTGCACGAGGAACCTTGGGGTCCCCGCGGGCTCCGAGGGTCTCGCTGCTGCGCGGCCTACAGCCCTGCGTGCGGCAGGTGAGTGCGCCCTGGTGTCCGTGCCGCCGGGTGCAGGGACCCCGCGCGCTTGGAGGGAACAGGTCGCCGGCGCCCTGGCCGCTCTCTAGGCGGTCGGACGCCGCCTGCCGCGTGGCTGTCGTCCCGGAAACCGGCCCCTCGGCCGCCCTCCCGGCCCGCGCCGGTTCCCGTCTCGGGAGACGACTCGAGGGCAGTCCAGCCGTCTGCGCGGAAGAGGGGACCCGGTCTGGGTGCCTGCGGAGCTCATCGGGTGTGGGCCTGAGGTGGGATATATCGGCTTGAGGCTTTATGTATTTAATTTAACATGAGCTGAGTCGTTTTAGGTAAAGGGATTTGAATGGGAATTCCAGATCTCCGCTTCCAAGGCTTGTGAATTTCACAGTTAATTGGCTTTCATTGCCAACAGATGCCCAGAGCGGAGAGAGCTGTCCGTTGGTCGTGGGGCCCTTTCCATTTCCTGGGATCGCAAGAAGTAAGTGACGCGAAAGTAAGTAAGGGACAAGAAATGACTGGGTCTGTCATGATGCTAGTTCAAGGAATACTAGAAACGTTGGGGCTTTTTTTATTTTATTTTTTCCCCATCTCCCAAGAATTTATTATTTTTTTTCTAGCTAGGACAGTTAATTCATGACAAAATATTTTTTTTCTTTGTTGATTTTTTTTTTTTTAAATCCTTACCTGAGGATATTTTTCCATTTTTTTGTTCAGATAGAGCGGGAAGGGGGGAGAGAGAGAGAGAGAGAGAGAGAGAAAGAGAGAGAAAGAAACATCGACATGAAAGGGACACATCGAGTGGCTGCCACCCACACAACCCAACCAGGGCCGGCGACAAACTGCAACCGAGGTACATGCCCTTAGCGGGGACCAAACCCGGGTCTCTCTGGACCGCAGGCCAACGCTCTAACCGCTGAGCCAAACCGGCCAGGGCTCTTTGTTGATTTTAGAGAGAGAGCAAAGTAGAAGTAGAGACAGCCAGAAACATCGATCAGAGAAAACATGAATTGGCTGCGTCCTGTAAATCCCCAGTAGGGATCGGGCCCACACCTGGGCATATAATCTGTCTGAGAATTGAACAGGTGACCTCTTGGTGCAGGGGTTGATGCTCAACCATTGAGCCAGTGTCCAGACCATGATGATTTAAAAAAATATATGTTTTTATTGATTGTTTTAGAGAGAGGAAGGAGAGAGAGAGATAGAATCATCGAGATGAACCCACAACTCAGGCATGTGCCCAGAACGAGAATTGAAATGGGACCTCTAACTCCATCGGACAATGCTCAGTGATTGTGTGTCACCCCATGCTCTGAGAGGTTGCTGATTCAATTCCAGGTCAGGAGACATGCCCAGTTGTGGAACCAATCCCCGGCTGGGGACATGTAGGAGGTGGCCAGTCGATTTTTTCCCTCATCAATGTTTTTCTTACTTCCTCTGTCTCTCTCTAAAATGAAGAAAGGAATAAAAATTATACATGTATTGTGTCTATTTCACATTCTGAGCCCTGTGTCCTTTCCATATATGTTGAAATATCTAGCATTAGGCTATTTCCGTGTATACTTGGTAAGGATGTAAATGATATTAAGAGACAAAATCTACTTCTGTGAGTTGGTCTCGTATTCAGCAGCATTTTCCTTTCATTTATATGATTTGTTGAAATAGTAACTGTGGGCCACACACTACCAGATCCCTTCAACACCTTCTTGTCCATTTTGTGAAAGTACTGAAGGATGGAGTGGATTCACCTGGTACTTCATTCACATAGAGCTCATCTATTCATGGTGAAGTTATTTGATTAGTTTGTTAAAATAGCTATCTTATTTTTATTGTAAGTGCCCCTAGCGAGTACCGAACCCAGGACTCTCTGGTCCATAAGACGATGCTCCCACACTGAGCCAAACCGGCCAGGGCTAAATATGTATCTTTTTTGGCAGGAGGGCCCACTGGGAACATTTGTGAGTGGGGCGCAGGCTTTAGTCAGGGATGTGACAGGGTGGTCTGTTGGGTTCAGAGATCCCAGACGCCATCCCACATTCCCCTGGCTGTAGGGACGTGTGCAGGTCTGTGGGAGGGGAGTGCACATGAAGACAAATAAAACAATCCTCACAGTGTGGTCTCCCTGTAGGAGCTCATTGTTCCTGACTTGCTGTGACAAAGGACAGCAGAGGGTGGCCTTTTCAGCAGTTCTAGGTCCTTCTGCCTGTGAATGTGCTGGGAGCTGATTAAGGGGCTGTGTGGACACATTTGAAGACACATTCTGTGACTCCAACATAACGTCACATGAGGAAACAACCCTGAGCAGAACCAGGACGAGGACAAAATGGCTGCTTCTCCCGTAAAAGATATGTCGTGGGTCAGAGGCTGTCTCTGCTTTTCCTCTCAGGTGGGTGAATTTAGAACCTGCAACCTTTATTTCTCTACTTCTGATGTTCTTCCTAGTGAGGTTATTTTCCTTGACTTAATTTTTTTATTATTTACAAAACATATTTTCATTGATGTTTGAGAGAGAGAGGAAGGGAGAGAGAGGTAGAAGCATGGATTTGGGAAAGAAACATTCATTGGCCGCCTCAGTAAGCCCCCTACTGGGGATCAAGTCCACAACCCTGGCATGTGTCGTGGCTGGGAATCGAACTGGAGACCTTCTGGTACATGAATTGACACTAACCGCTTTGTAATCCGGCCGAGCTATCCTGTGTTTTTTTTATGTACTGTTTAGAAGAATGGCACATGGAATGGAAACATTAGTGTCATTAGCAAAAACCGCTTCTCCTAACACTGTTTCCATGTTGGGTGACCTTAGGAACGTCTGGTCGCCCCTTGGTAAATGTGTCTTTCCTTTCAGGGCCCGCTGACCTTCAGGGATGTGGCTGTAGACTTCTCTCAGGAGGAGTGGGAATGCCTGGACCCCGCTCAGCAGACATTGTACCTGGATGTGATGTTGGAGAACTACAGGAACCTGGTCTCCCTGGGTGAGCATGACTTCCTTCCAGGGTTCCCCCTTCATCTGCTGTAGTTTCCTTTATTTCTTTAACATCTGTTTGGGGCTTCTGCTTTGTATGATGGACTGTCAGAGTCTTGCTCTCAGAAAACACATTGCTGGTTGATGGTGTAGAAAGGCTTTGTGATGCATGTGAATTACAAACTTGGTGTTTCAAGTTTTCTGTTGTCTAGAATAATTGAAGTGCTCTCAGAAAACAGTATTTTGGAAAATCTTTTTGTGGAATATTCTACTATTCAACCATGTCTTCTGACCTGAACATGACCTGGATTAGATATGGGATCATGTCTGTCAGTATTCATGTTCCATTTTCTTTCTCTCTGTTTGTTTTACTATTTTCTCTTTATTGATTTTAGAGAAATGAAGGGAGAGGGAGAGAGAGACACACAGACATTATGAGAGAACATCGATTGGCTGCCCCTTCATTCCCCCCACTGGGGATTGGGCCCACAATCTGGGCATGTCCCCTTTTTCTGGACTGGAACCCGGGACACTTAGGTCTTCAATGCTGACGCTCTAACTGCTGAGCAAAACTGGCCAGAGCCTCACTTTATGTCCTTTTTGTTGTTTATCTTATGACATAGATTTAAGATTTTATTGTTTTTTATTTTAAAGGTCTACAGGAGAAATCAAAGTGATTTTTGTTTCATTATTAGGCCATTGGGAACTTTTATATTTCTGTATATTTTATATGTGCAAGAAAGCTTTTTTTTTTATCTGCCCCTGAGGACATTTTTCCATTTTTTGTTCAGATAGAGTGGGAAGGAGAGCTCGAGAGAGAAACATTGACATGAAAGGGAAACATCTAGTGGTTGCCACCCGCACAACCCAACCAGGGCTGGGGACACACTGCAACTGAGGTATGTGCCCTTAGCAGGAACCGAACCCGGGTCTCTCCGGATTGCAGGCTGATGCTGTAACCGGTGAGCCAGACTGGCCAGGGCAACAAGAAATCTTGACATTTTCATATGCTTTAGTGTTGTTTAGAATTTTTTAAGCTGATCTAGAAGTATTTTCTTACTCATTTTTCATTGTGCAGGTTTACTGGTGAGAATATCGTGTTTTTTGAGTTAGAAGAATCTTTCTCTTTTGTTGATGTGTTTTGTCAGAGAAAGTATTCTTGATAGATTTTGGTGTTTTATCAGTTGAGTATTTTATTTCATGCATTTTTTAAAATGAGTTATCTGCTGAGAAGCCCAGTGATCATCCAAGAGGAACTGTCTTTTTCTTGACAAGTTTTTTGTTGTTGTTGTTCTTTTTACCCTTTTAGGGTATTTGTTGTGTGGGATTCATTATGTTTTGATTCTAATATGTCCTTCTGTTGATATTTGTACGTTTATTCTACTTAGAATTCAGTCATCTGCCTGAATTTGTATGTCTCTTTCTTTCTCTAAATGTTGGAATCCTGAACTTATTTTTAAAATTTAAATGTTTCTCTCAAATCGATTTGAGTGACATTTTTTCATAGGAGTGAGTTTATGGGTTTCAGGTGTGGATTTCTAGTGTATATTATACTGTGTCCACCACCCAAAGTCAGATCATCTTCTGTCACCATATATTAGGCCCGCTTCACCCCCAAACCTCATCGTCCTGTGGCAACCACCACAATGATCTCGTGTCCATGAGTTTCAGTTTTATATCCCACATATGAGTGAAAGTATGTAGTTCTTAGTTTTTTCTGCTTGACTAATTTCACGTAGCACAATATTCCCAAGGTCCATAATGTTGTTGCAAATGTCAGTATTTTCTTATGGCTCAGTAGGTAATATTCCATTGTGTGTATGCGCCACATCTTTTTGTTTTAGTTAATCTTTGCCCGAGAATAATTTTTCATTGATTATTAGAGAGAATGGAAAGAGGGAACGAGGGAGACACATCAGCTCGTTGCCTCCCATAGGACCCCAACCAGGGCCAGGGACGAACAGCAACCGAGGTACATGCCCTTAGCAGGAAGAGAACCCAGGAGTCTTTGGTCCATGGGCCAACGCTGTAACCGCTGATCCAGGCCGGCCAAAGTGTGGTTCAGGAATATAAACAACACAGCTTTATAAACTTGTTTTTTGTAAGCAAAAACAAATAACTATCACCTGTGGTAGAAATTCTAATTTTTGTCAAAACTGTTTTGGGGCAGTTTGTGTGTCAGTTCCAAGTTTAAAATTTTTTTTGTCTGTTCTTTAGAGCCCATGATATATTTATGTCCTCGATATCTGTCTTCACTATTGCAGTCTCTGAAGTGTTTGAACAATGACTTCTTTTTAGCAGCCATTGCAATGCATTCACCATGTACTGAAATTGTTTTAAAATTTTGCCATGCAAAACAGAAACACATTCTTCAGTATGTTGGAAGAAAGTAAGATCACTGAACACGCATTACTGTCTTCTCTGTCTCTGCAGACAAGAAACTGGGAATTGGGAGTTGTCTTATACTATTGTTATTGTATGCTAGGGGTTGAGCAGGTATCATTGGCAAATGTAGAACTTTTTGTCTCTCTTAAATGTGACTTTTCCTCATTGTATCTTTATTGGTGTTGCTTTGAATACTGAACTTGCTTTAGGAGTACTCAGAATGTAATTTGCTCAATAATTTCTGTTAAGTTCAGTTTACATCTACCCAAGTGTTATGAATGTGAAACTTTATGTCATATCTTTCAGCTGTCTTATCTGAGGACAATGAGGCCTTTGTGCCAAAGGCAAAGCTGGAAGATTTATTCCCTGAAATAATACTGGTAAGATATGGAAGGTATGGGTTTTATAGTGTACACTTAGTGAGAGCCTTGGGATTTGAGGAAAAGTGTACGATGAGAAGGTGTGATAATATGGACAGAAGTAACCTGGGACTGTTGTATAATAAAATCCTTGTTATCTAAAGAGGTCAAAGATACTACACATTTGGGGATGCTCCTGGTTTAGGTCAGTTTCATCATCAGATCAGTGTGTTTCTAAATGTGAAGACCAAAAACAATGTGTTACTGTATATATTAGATCAGAAATAGGGAAATCGAGTACTCACATCAGCGATGTTGCAAAGAATAATAAGAATTGTTTGCAATGTTGTGTGGGATTAAACTTTCAGTTAGTCATTTCTGAAATTTAGTGATTTATCATGAACACATAAAATTACAATGTGATCAGTTTAGTAATTCCCTTATTAAGGAATCATTATATCACTATTGGGAAATAGCACTTTTTTGAACCAATGTATATAATTTTCTTAATTTTAGGAGTGTTTTTTATACATCATCATGGTTTAATAGGTGTTACAGAATCGTTATTTGAGAATAAGTGTACATTTTGAAGGAAATTATAGCTGTCACTAAAGCTCTTTCTGTCTTCAATTATTACCAGAGTGCATATAATGAAGACAGAAGTTATCAATGCAACATACATTGGAAAAATTTTTACCAAGAGTCAAACCCCAATAAGCAGAAAACTCAGCTTCCAGAGAACTATTATGAAGGTGGAAAAGTCTTTGCCCAAATGTCAAATCGAAATATACATCAGGTTATTCATACTGTGGAGAAGAGAAACAAACGAAGTAAATGTGACAAATCTTTGCAGCAATCTTCACGTCACACTGAACGACAGAATATTCATACCAGGGAGAGAGCTTTCAAAGGTAATCCGTGCGGGAGTCCGATGTTTAGTCTAGATAGACTTACAGAAAGCCATACAGAACAAAAACTTTATCAATGTAATAAATGTGGCAAAATATTTAATTCCCTTAGATATATTAGTATACATGGCACAACTCATAAGGGGGATAAACCCTATAAATGTAGAGAATGTGGCAAAGCTTTTAGTCGGCCCTCACACCTTAATCTCCATTATAAAATTCATACTGGAGAGAAACCTCATAAATGCAAAGAATGTGGAAAAGCCTTTCGGAGTTCTTCACACCTTAATCTGCATCATAGAATTCATACTGGAGAGAAACCATTCCAATGTGTTAAATGTGGCAAATATTTTAGGTTCTCCTCAGAACTTAATCATCATGAGATAATTCACACAGGGGAGAAAACGTACAAATGTAAAGAATGTGGCAAAGCCTTTAGCCAGCCCTCAGCCTTCAGTAAACATCGGAGAATTAATACTGGAGAGAAGCCTTTCCAATGTAGTCAATGTGGCAAAGGTTTTAGGGGCTCCTCAGATCTTAATCGGCATCAGATAATTCACACGGGGGAGAACCCTTACAAATGTAAAGAATGTGGCAAAGTCTTTACGCAGTCCACAAACCTTATTGTACATCAGAGAATTCATACTGGAGAGAAACCTTATCGTTGCATTGAATGTGGCAAAGACTTTAGGCATTCCACAAACCTTATTGTACATCAGAGAATTCATACTGGAGAGAAACCTTATCGGTGTATTGAATGTGGCAAAGCCTTTAAGCAGTCCACAAACCTTATTGTACATCAGAGAATACATACTGGAGAGAAACCTTATCGGTGTATTGAATGTGGCAAAACCTTTACCCACTCTTCAAGCCTTACTGCACATCGAAGAATTCATACTGGAGAGAAGCCTCATAAATGCAAAGAATGTGGCAAAGCCTTTGTGAGGTCTTCACACCTTAATTGCCATCAGAGAATTCATACTGGAGAGAAACCTCATAAATGCAAAGAATGTGGCAAAGCCTTTGGGAGGTCTTCAAACCTTTATCGCCATCAGAGAATTCATACTGGAGAGAATCCTTACTAGTGTGGTAAATGTGGGAAAGCTTTTAGGTGCTGGCTTAGACCTTAATCGTCATGAGATAATTCACACAGGGGAGAAACCTTACAAATGTAAAGAATGTGGCAAAGCCTTTAGGCATTCCTCAACCCTTACTCAACATTGTAGAATTCATAGTGGAGAGAAACCTTATCGTGTTGAATGTGGCAAAGCCTTTACCTAGTCCTCAGTCCTTACTGAACATCAGAGAATTCATCACAGAGGTAAGCCTTATGAATGTAGAAACTGTGACAGAGCCTTTAATGAGTGTTCAGAACATATGCAACGTTAGAAAAGTTCATACTGGAGATAAATCTTACAGATGCAAGGAGTGTGGTAAAGTCTTTTATCAGCACACAAAATTTATACTGGAAAGAAGCATTAGGAATGTGTACAATTGAACAAATTGAATGCCATGCATGTCTCACTGTATATGAGTGTGTTCATACTGGAGAGAGATACAGATGTCAGAATATGCTAAAGCCTCTCACTGGCAGTGGAATCTTACTAGACACCAGATATTTCATTCTAGAGAAATGTTACAAGTGTCAAAAATGTAGGAAAGCCTCTAGCCTGTCGTCCCCAGAAGTTACTAAATACCAGAGAATTCACTGTAATGCACGTTACAAATGTACATAATGTACATTTAATCACTCTTCACAATTTAATCATCATTAGATTATTCCTAGTGGAGAAATACTGTATTTGGAAAAACCTTGTTTTTCCATTTACACCTTAGTAATCATCAAATCATCAAAAAGGCTCATTCTCGACAGGAGCCTTATAAATGTGGAAAATGTGGCCAAACTTTTATAACATACCCTATGTGGCATGACACAAATTATAGTGGACAGAAGACTTTCATGTGTAAACCATATGTCAAAGCTTTTAAATGACATTCATGCCTTATTGTATGTGAGAAAATAATATATACTGGAGAGGAACTTTACAAATGCTCTACCACATCGATGTTTCTGTCTCTCTCTTGCAAACATTTGTGTAGCAAACATCTGAACGCAGAAAGTAAATATCAATGAACATAAAGGGAGAATGGACCCTTTGTTATTTGTATTCTTTGTTTTTTGTTAATGGGTTGTATGAATTTGTCAAATATTAAGGATACGAGACCCTTACAAAATCTTTGATTTGCTATTATTTTCTCCTGTTTGATAGATTGTATTTTTACTTTGTGATAGTGTCCTGAGCAAAAAGCATAAATTTTGATGAAGATTTAATTTATCTTATTTCATCTTTGACTTTTATTGTTGTTATATCTAAAATAATCTACTGGCAAATTCAAGGTCATGAAGATTTAACCCTATGTTTTTATCTCAGAGATTTGTATGTCAAGTTCTTACATTTAGCTTCCCTGTAGCTACTATGCATTGGCTAAATTCTAACTGTTTTTATTTAAAACACCTTCTGAATAAGGGTCCCTAACTGAACACCACAGCCTTTGTGCAATACATGTACACTGGAAAAAAAATGGTTAGTTTAAAAATTGGATTATACATTTAAAGTTTTTTAAATTTTTGTTGAATGCTTTGGAGTGACATTGGTTAATAAAGTTATGAGTTTAATGTAGTATTCTATATGACATTGTCGCAATATTGTACTGTGTGTTTACCATGAGAAGTGTCTTTCCATTCACATTTATCCTCCCTTTACCCTTTTCTGCCTGCCCACACCCTGAGTTACCTCTGCTAATTTCCTTTATACTGTCTGTGCCAATAAGGGGATTTGTTGTTGTTTTTACTTTACCCTTCAGTATACATTTTATGTTTTTTTTTTTATCCTCACCCGAGGATATTTTTCCATTTTTTGTTCAGGTAGAGAGAGAGGAACAGAGAGAGAGAGAGAGAGGAACATCGACGTGAAAGGGACACATTGACTGGCTGCCACCCGCATGACCAACCAGGGCTGGGGACAAACTGCAACTGAGGTACATGCCCTTAGTGGGAACTGAACCTGGGTCTCTCTGGACCGCAGGCCAACCGCTGAGCCAAACCAGCCAGGGCTTCAGTATACATTTTAAGCCAAATTATATAATTAAAGAAAAACTTTTCTATTACTTAGTTTTAACTGTGAACTTTCCATTGTGGTACAAATGATAAATATTTTATGAGGTTGAAAAGTCCTGACCTTTTTCTGTAAGTGCTTTCATAAAATCAAGCAAAGAATGCTTCTTCCATCGGTCTTTTCCATGGGTTCTTGGGCCTTTGTGAACATGAACACATCACTGTGTGTTGTCTGTAGAAGCTGAGTTACATGGTGGTCCAGGGGCATCCCTATTGGGCCGCTACACAGGTCTTATGGACCACTTTGCTGATGGTGCAGAGCCTCGTACCCATCTCTAAGTTCCACCCTTTCCCAATAGGTTCACCTCAAAAGAACCTTTTTTTGTGTTCTGTCACTGCCTCATGCAGACATGTGGTGAGGATGTTTATTGCCTTATATGAAAAATAAAAGGAAACTGTGCCGGTTTCTGAATTTTCAGTAGCATCACTTATAGCACTAATTTTTAACTTAAAATGTGCAAGTTAATGTCTACTACTTGCTTTGCTGTGTAGAATCTGAAGATGGCCCTGGAAAGTGTTGGATCAACAATAGCATATCTATACATATCTTTCCAAGAAGGGGCATCCTGTTTTCAGACGTAATTTGAGTTTTGACATTGCAAACTGTTTTTACCCTAATACTTCAGTGAGGTTTTATTATTTAAGTAGTTAAATGGTTAGACTCAAATAGATTGTAAGTTAGGGAAATTAATTGGTCTTGACCTAAACATGCGAAAAACCCTTGTCCTGTTCCTGAGTCTCCAGACATCCAGTCCTAAACTCACTCTCCCCAGGTTATGCCCACTACACACAGATTGTCTTGTATTTCTCTATAGATGGAATCTTCCACAGGAAAATGTGCTCAATAATAGATGCTGACTAGTAGATCCTGCAATGAGAATTATTAAGGGAGGTAAAAGTTCTTGGATATTTGATTAATTTACTTCATACTCTTTTGGGCTTATACATAGAATATACCCCACTACAGAATGTCGCAAATTATTGTTGAGGCAAAAGTAAATCCAATCGTATCTTTGAAGTATATATTAGAGGCTTAGGTACCCAAACCTGTCAGAACATTCAGAAATACGAAAGTGAAAAAGAGGTAAAAAAAAACAAAACCCTGGCCGGTTTGGTTCAGTGGTTAGAGCGTTGGCCCGCGGTCCAGAGAGACCCGGGTTTGGTTCCCACTAAGGGCGTATACCTCGGGTGCAGTTTGTCCCTGGCCCTGGTTGGGTCATGCGGGTGGCAGCCACTCGATGTGTCCCCTTCACGTCGATGTTTCTCTTTCTCCCGCTCTCTCCCTCCCACTCTATGTGAACAAAAAATGGAAAAATGTCCTCGGGTGAAGAATAAATATTTAAATTAAAAATGAGGTAAAAAGTAAACTTTGTAATTATTCTTCAAAGGAACATACAATGTATTGGAAATTATATTATATGATTGGATATGATTGATTTAAGTGTATTATGATGTGAAGAAGTTTCAGGCATTTCAAAGTATTTCTAGTGTGGTAGAGAACATTTTTTTTTTTTGGATTCCAATAAAGCCAAGTCATGTTTCCAAAAGCAAAATCTATTAAGAACAATAAACATGTACAAGAAATGACAAGAAATGATGATCATGGTTACAAATGCAAAATAATATCTAATTATCCCAAACTTGTGAATATAATAGTTAAAAACGATTTCATATGCTAGTTCAAGAGAACATTTTAATGATGTAATTTATAACACATTTTATTTTTTTTTTATTTTTTATTTATTTTTTTATTTAAAAAAGAGAGAGAGAGACAGAGAGAGAGAGAGAAACATCGATGTGAAAGGGACACATCGAGTGGCTGCCACCCACACGACCCAACCAGGGCCGGGGACAAACTGCAACCGAGGTACGCGCCCTTAGCGGGAACCAAACCCGGGTCTCTCAGGACCGCAGGCCGATGCTCTAACCGCTGAGCCAAACCGGCCAGGGCTTTTTACTGTTTTTAATGAAGTGCCAGACATTAATCAAATTGTTGTTCCCCTCAATTAGAGTCATTTATCTCTCATTACTCTTAAGATTTTCTCTTTGTTACTAGCGCTCAGCAGCTTACTTCTGGATTTTTAGTTAAAGTTAGGATCTCCATATTTCCATATTATAGGAATACATTCCAATCATCTTTGAGTTTTTATTTTTACCTTTACATTTCTGATCCATTTGTACCTTATTTTGACATAGTTTGAGGTATTGAATGAATTCGATCATTTTCCAAATAACTACCCTGTTAGTCCAACACCATTTTTAAATAGTTCATCTCTCACAAACATAGTGTCTCGACTTTACATACTTAATATGGGAGCCATTCTGAGGACAAAAGGAATTACAAAGAACATTTCAGCTTTCCCTCAATTATACCAGCATAGTACTATCACCATTGTTATTTTGAAGATATTTCCTTTCTGTTGTTGGGAACAGGGAATAATGTTAATCAAGTTGAGAGAAAAATGCTATAAGGTTAATAATTGATTTGAAAATATGAACAGGAAGACAGGCATTCCTTTCCTACTTCTGTCCACTCTGGGAGCAGTATCAACCCATCAGCTCCCAGATTGTGTTCACTAATGTCATCTCCAAATAAAAGGAACAGGCCTTTTTGGAGAAGTAGCTGACTCTGCTCTGCGTTTGGAATAGAGAAAGAATGGTGAGCCTGGGAGAGCTGGCTGGGTCAGAAAGCAAGGAAATTTTCAGTAACTAATAGAATCAAATCAAAAGGGAACAGGATAAAATTTTTAAAAGAAAGCAGAAGGTGCTGTAAAGATTATTATCATTACTATTATTGTGAACATTTGGGCCAATATAAGGAATACTGATTTCTGTAAATTGATTCAATTAAAATCAATGGCACCATAACAATAATCTAAAAAGAAAAAGCAAAAAAACATTTATCAACATTGAAGGTGCTTTTTAAAACAACTGATTACTGAAGCATTCGAGATCTTGCTCTCCAGCAATTGTCTTCAGTTTAGTTCGAATTAATTTTTACAAAAATGCCAATGAATAAATGAGTAAAACAACTGATTACTTTAGGTTTAAAGAGGCAAACATCCTGCCTTCACAATGGGATCAGTGTGAGATGTAACCACATAGTCCCACTTTATAGGGGGAAGCCTTATTTTATAAAAAACATACCAGTTAATGGATGTAGAACAAATGTCAGTTAGAAAACCAGGATTTTAATAAGTAAATAATGATCTAAGGGAAAATTCTCATTTATTCTTAAAAATTAACTACCTAATAATAGATGGGGACTAGGAATTTTTTTTACATTTAACCCTAAAAAAAGTGAGTTAGGGATGCAAACCCCTGTGCAATTGAAAATCTAACTTTTGACACCCCCCCCCCAAAAAAAAACAAAAAAAACTAAACAGCCAGCTCTTGATATCAGTGGGGAATAGGTTGCAGGACTCCTTCGGATACCAAAATACATGGACGCCCAAGTCCTCAAGGCCCTTATATAGAAAGAGGTAGGATAATGCATGCAGTCAGACCTCGGCATCTCAAATTCCCAACCAGATCAAAATACTGTTCTTAATTGGTTGGTTGAATCTCTGGATACAAAATCCACGGATATAAAGGGCTGACTGCATTTATTGAAAAAAAAAAAAAAAAATCCCAGTATTACTGGACCCTACCAGTTCAAACCCATGTAGTTCAAGAGTAAACAGTAATTCCAAAATAACATCCCACAGATTGCTATCTAGCTACCCCTATGAAATGATCGGAAATGCACGAGGGGAGCAGTCATCACCGCAGGACTCCCTTCTGTTCTTTTGCTGGTTCCTTCTTTGCCACAACTACATATCCCGGGAATTTGTGGCACGTTTCCCTTAGCAGTGGGCCTACATTCATGCTAGGAGAAATCTGAACCGTAGGCAGGGCTCCCAACATTTGTCCATCCTGCGACTCAGTGATACAGACGGGGGCAAAAGTAGGCTTACAATTGTGATTTCTTGTATTGTTATCAATTATTGTATAATTTTTCCACAGAAACAACTGTAAAGCAACTTTTGCCCACCCCTGTACATCCCCTACTCCCACCCCCGGGATTCTGGTGGCACAGGTTCTTTAGGGGGAGGGGCAAAATGCCTTCTGAAAGCCAGGCTTCCAGCCCTGAGGGCTCCTCACGATGAGAACTGCATTTCCCACAAGTCTCTGCGGCAAAGCGCCTGAGGGCCTTTGTAGAGTTGCATGCTGGGGAAATGGGACGCGTCCATCTCCGCGGGTTCCCGGATTCTGGACTACATTTCCCAGAGGCCTCTGAGGCAGGGTCATCAGGAGCGCTCCGAGTTGCATGCTGGGAGACGCGCTTCCTGCGCACTGGGACTTTTGGTCTTCGGCTTCCCAGGACACCAGCCAGAGTTAACTTCCACCCTTGCGCCCCCTCCCGACGCCCTGTTGGTCGTTGGGCCCCAAGTGGTAAGTTGTTAGCGTCCGAGAAGGAAACCGGAGCGGGGTGAGGGCGGGGCACGGCGGGGAGCGAGACGCCCCGGGCGAGGAGGCCTGAAGCGGAGGCTCGGCCTGTGGCTGCGGAGAGAAGTGCGCGCGCGCGTGCGCGTGTTTGTCCGTGTTTGTCCGTGTTTGCCAGTGTCAGGACCCGGCCACGTCCCCGGGACTGGTGTGCGTGCGCGCGTCGGCGAGGGTGACAGGCTCTGTCCCCGTTGGCGGTGACGCGGCGGGGCTGTGGGACCCGGAGACTCTGCCCCGTGTGACTTACCTGCGTGTGAGCTCCGCGGGGGTGGCCAGGCCCTGAAGCGTCTCGGTGGCTGCGACATGGGCCTTTGCTCCTCTGGCGGGTGGTCAGGGCCGGGCCGGTGACGGACGTGCCTGTGGGGGTGTGTGGCAGGGCCGTGCGATTGTTCGACTGTGACTGCCGTGGATTGTGCTCGGATGGTTCGGTGTGTGGCCACGATCGAGGGAGCACTGGGGCGTGTGTGACGGTGTGACCTGGCGCTGTGCTGCCTCTGCTGCCCCTCTGCCTTCCCCTTCCAGCCTTGTGGAACCTGCCCGGACGCAGGGGCCCCAAAGGGAGGTCAGAGCCTGAACCCTGGAATGGAAATAACTGAAAGATGGGCCCATCGTCCTGAGATGGCAAATTTAGAGCGTAAAGTGCACTTCGTAGAGGCCACCTGAGTGACAGGATGGCAAGGCCTCGGGAATAAGATTTCTGTTTCGCTGGGCAGAGGTCCCTGACTTGGCAGGCTGGGGGGAGTAGACGGCTACATAGTGACAAAACCCAGGTCACTAAGAGCCCAGTCTCAAGGAATCGCTGAAATATTCAGATCCGAGTTCCCCCTTGTTTCTGGTTGTTGTTGTTTTTATTTATTTATTTGTTTGTTTGTTTGTTTGTTTGTTTGTGGTACGTGCCCCTAGCGGGAACCGAACCCAGACTCTCTGGTCCGCAGGCCAGTGCTCAACCGCTGAGCCAAACTGGCCAGGGCATGTTGTTGTTTTTTTAAATTTATCTTTATTGTTGAAAATATTAGAGCTGTCACCACCCCCTTGATTCCCTTCTCCTCACTGCCCCCCCTTCCCCAAACTATTGTCAGTGTCCATTGGTTATGCATATGTACATATAAGTTCTTAGGTTTAACTCCCCCACTGCCCTCTTATCTCTGGTTGGTTTTAGATATGACATGGGACAGGTGTGGCCTTGGAGGGTGTGCTGTGCTGTAGTCTGTGCTCCAGAAAGGACACAGTGTCTCATGTTGTCCTTCTTTTTTTCCCTCAGGCCGGCCATCCTCCAGAAAAGGTATCCCCAGGAGGAGAAGAATCATTACACATCTTAAAATCAAGGTTCAAATTATTTTTCTTGTTGTTCAGTAAATGATTTGGCTATAAAACTTAAGACTGTTTGCTTTCCTTGGCCTGAAATGTCCGCCCTAACAGTGACCTATCCCAGTAATTCCTTCCCAAGAGGCGTGAAGGGCCCTGCAGGTGTAGTCCCCAGTGTACTCCTCACTGGCCCACCCTCTCCCATGAGCTTCCGCCTACTCATCTGGCCAGTTGTTCACTCCTGCTGTGTGCTCTTCTTTTCTAAGAATCTGATGGTACAGAAGATGACTACTGGGAGATTAGTGTTTGCGCTTTATTTTAGAGTGTGACTTGGTAAGGGGGATATCCATTTTTAGGTGGAATCAACACTAGACATCTTTGGTCTTTCACAGGCCTGGTTTTCGGAGCACAGTAAGAAAGGAGAAGGTTTGATTGTTTTATTTTATTTTTTCTTGGTGGTACGTGCTCCTAGCGGGAACCAAATCCGGGACTCTCTGGTCCGCAGGCTGACGCTCAACCGCTGAGCCAAACTGGCCAGGGCTGATTGTTTTAGTAAGTGACAAAGTAAACAACCTCATGAGGCTTTGGAGAGAGGGGTTTGAGCAAAGGTCTTTGTCATAAAGGCAGGGATTTTTTTGTCAGTAATCAGTATATAGAAATGTGTTATATTAGCCAAGTCTTGTTTGAGGTCTGACAGTCTCAGCTTATTTAGTTGCATCTTGTATGAACTGTGAGAAGAAATTGATATTAGGTATGGGTTCTGGCTCTAGAGCCTGGGTCGGTCACTTTTTTCCATGGGCTTTATAAAGATAAGGTTGTGATGAGGATGAGATAATACAGGTAAAGCCTCTTCGAACAGGCCCTAGAGTATAAGTGTTGAGTAAATCCTGTTTTTGCTGTATGGTAAGTCTGGATATTCTATAGGTCAGGAGCAACATACATATGAAGGTCATTGTAATGGGTACTTGAGAGTTCTCCAAGTGAACCAGAACATAGAACAGGAATCCTGCCTTGCCGGTGTGGCTCAGTAGTTGAGCATCGACCTATGCACCAAGAGGTTGCTGGTTCAATTCCAGGTCAGGGCACATACCCAGTTTGTGGGCCAAATCCCAAGTGGGGGGCATGCAAGAGGCGGCTAGTCGATGTTCTCTCTCATCGATGTTTTTTTTTTTTTTTTATCCTCACCTGAGGACATTTTTTCCATTTTTTGTTCAGATAGAGCAGGAGAGAGAGAGAGGAAGAGAGAGAGAGAGAGAAACATCGATGTGAAGGGACACATCGAGTGGCTGCCACCCACATGACCAACCAGGGCCGGGGACAAACTGCAACCGAGGTACGTGCCCTTAGCGGGAACCGAACCCGGGTCTCTCTGTACCGCAGGCCAACGCTCCAACCACTGAGCCAAACCGGCCAGGGCTCATCGATGTTTCTATCGATCTCTCCCTCTTCCTTCCTCTCTAAAATCAATAAAGAAAAAAGAAATAAGAAAAAGAACGGGAATCCTTAGCCTTCCTTTAATTCCATTTACCATTTTCCAAGGACAATTGTATACAGACTTGTTTCGTATGTTCATAAACAAGGCTTTCTTTCTAGGAAAAGATCTATAACTTCATAGCATTCACAAGTGTGGACATGCTCCCCAAAATTAGACCCTTGGTCTAGAACCAAAGACTGTGTTAACCAAACCACAATTAGTGTTACCCTGACCACAGTCAGTATTCAGAGTGATGGAAATGGTTAAAGTAAATCACACCAAATTCACATTTATGCAGCATTATGGAGCTATGAAGAGTGATGTTAAGAAATAGTCATAAGAAGGAAAAAATGCATGCGTTATAATATTAAGCAATACTCACAATTATAAACAATATCATTCATTAAAAATTTAAATTAGCTTGAAATTTTATTTAATAGAACTTTCTAAGTATTTTCAATATGACATTTTAGTTGATTATTCAGTAAAGGAGGAAGGGGGTGGGGCATTTACTGAGTACCTTCCCTGTACCAAACACTCTTTTATCTGCTTTGCACACTTTCCCTAATCAGTCTGCCCAGTGCTTAGCTGCATTGTTACACTCAGGATCCAGTGGTGTTACTGAGACACAGCAAAAGGATATTCAGATCAGGGAGGCACCCAGCCGGTGTGGCTCAGTGGCTGAGCATCAACCCATGGACTGAGAGGTCGCCGGTTGGATTCCTGGTCAGGGCACATGCCCAGGTTGTGGGCCTGATCCCCAGTAGCGGCATGCAGGAGGCGGCCAATCATTGTTCTCTCTCATCAATGTTTCTGTCTCTCCCTTTCCCTTCCTCTCTCTCTAAAATCAATAAAAAAAAAAGATTAGGGAGGCAATATTGGTTTGTCACCTGCTTTTTTTTTTTTTTTAATCCTCACTCAAGGACATTTTTTTTTTCATTAATCTTCAGATAGAGCAGGAAGGAAAGAGGGAGGAAGAGAGAGAGAAACATCGATGTGAGAAAGACACATCAACTGGTTGCCACCCACACGACCCTAAGCAGGGCCGGGGACAAACTGCAACCTAGGTACATGCCCTTAGTGGGAACTGAACCCAGGATTCTCTGGTGTGTGGGCCGACACTAACTGCTGACCCAGACTGGCCAGGGCATCACCTGCTTTTTCAATACTGGGCTTTGTATCGTTTTTTTTTTTTAATATGTTTTTATTGATATTTTGAGAGGGAAAACGAAACATCGGTGAGAGAAGCATCCATCTGCTGCTTCCTGCACACCCCCTACTGGGGATCAATCCCACAACCTAGGCAAGTGCCCTGACATCAAACCGGCGACCTGTCAGTGCTTGGGGCAATGCTCAGCCCACTGAGCTACACTTTCTTTTGCTGTTGTAACATATTGCCACAGATTTAGTGGCTTAAAACACACAGATTTGATATCTTACAGTCCTAGAGGTCAGAAGTCCAAATTGGGGTTCACCTGGCTGAAACCAAGGTGTTGGCAAGGCTGCGTTTTCTTTCAGAGGCTCTGGGGGGTATTTCTTTTCCTGCATTTCCCAGCTTCCAAAGGCTGCTTGCCTTCCACCATCTTCAAAGCCAGCAAAGACAAGTCTTCTCACATCACAGTACTCTGACCCTGCTTCTGTCATTAGATCTTTCTCTCTCCTTCTTACACCCCTCATTTACTTTTGAGATTACATTGGACCCAGCTGATTACCCTCCTCATTTTAAGGTCAGCTGATTAGGGACTTTAAGTCCATCTGCAGCCTAACTCCCCTTTGGTATGTAATGCAACATATTCACAAGTTCCAGAATTAGGATGTGGGCATCTTGGGAGACAATTGTTCTGTTTCTTTATTAAATTTTTTAAAATTTGGGACTGTTGTATTTCTTATAAAGGGATTTATACAGGCCTGCTGCAAAAGAACTCAATTTCCTAAGGAGCTCATAAAGAAGAAACTTGAAATTACTTACCCACGACGGTGCCGTCCACAGAGAATGACTATTGATATTACGGTGTGTATGCTTCCAGTCCTCCCCTCCTGCTCTAAGCATGTGTATGGTTTTGTTGCTAGAGCATTGAATTCTGCTAACTGATCATGTAAATGAGCCAGACTTTGCAGATCGTAGTTTGTAAAAGGAATCCACCTTAGCCAAGGGTCACATTATACCTGTGTGGGTGGGGAGCAGAGAGGTGGGCCAGCTGTCCCCTTCTTGCTTTGAAAAAAAGTCTCCCATATACCTATCCCTTATAGGTTTGGAGATACGTCACTTGAAATGGATCCCATGGCAACAAATCATCAAGAAAGACAGACTTTCTTTATTATTATTTTTTTTTAATTTTTTTTTTATCCTCACCTGAGGACATTTTTTGATATTTTATTCAGATAGAGTGGGAGAGAGAGAGAGAGAGAGAGAGAGAGAAACATTGACATGAAAGGGACACATCGAGTGGTTGCCACCCACACGACCCAACCAGGGCCAGGGACAAACTGCAACTGAGGTACGTGCCCTTAGCGGGAACCGAACCTGGGTCTCTCCAGACCGAAGGCCAATGCTCTAACCGCTGAGCCAAACCGGCCAGGGCAAGACAGACTTTCTTTAAAAGAATAAAAGATAAAAGAATGATCTGGTCCAAGATAGGACTAGTGCAGAAGTGGAGAAAAACCTGCTTTAGACATTATGTGTGTATATATATTCTCCCTTGTTTGTTTTTTCTGCCTTTATTTTATCTTTTTTAAATCCTCACCTGAGGACATTTTTTCATTTTTGTTCAGATGGAGCGGGAGGGAGAGAGAGAGAGGGAGAACATCGACGTGAAATGGACACATCGAGTGGCTGCCACCCACACGACCCCAACAGGGACTGGGGACAAACTGCAACCGAGGTACATGCCCTTAGCGGGAACCGAACCCGGACCGCAGGCCGATGCTCTAACCGCTGAGCCAAACCCACCAGGGCTCTGCCTTTATTTTTATTAGCACAAATGAGATTTTGCTAACTTGATGTATAAGCGGTGACTCTTTTTTATTTATCCTCGCCAGAGGATATTTTGTATTTATCTTCAGATAGAGCGGGAGGCAGAGAGGGAGGAAGAGAGAGAGAGAAATATTGATGTAAGAGAGACACATCGACTGGTTGCCATCCGCACAACTCCAACGGGGGCCAAGGACAAACTGCAACCGAGGTACATGCCCTTAGGGGGAACCAGACCCAGAACTCTCTGGTCTGTGAGCTGATGCTCTAACCATTGAGCCAGACCGGCCAGGGCTGTGTGACATTATTGATCTTCAATAATGAAAGCTAACTTGTATTACATAATTGTTACATATTATTGTGTTTCATGTAGATTCTCTTAATAGTCGTGACAGTCATACCTGGTAGGTACTGTTTTTACCCCAATCTTACCTATTGGGGAACAGACACTGAGGTTAGTAACTGTCAGAGCTCAGATTTACATCCTGCAAGTCAGACCACAGAACCTGTGTTCTTAATTTCAGCAAGACCTTTCCTTCCACATTATACATATCTTTTTATTTTATTTTTTACTTTTTAAAATATGTTTTTATTGATTTTTTTTTTTAGAGAGGAAGGGAGAGAGAGATAGAAATACCCATGTGAGAAAGAAACATTGATCGGCCGCCTCCTGCGTGCCCCCTACCAGGGATTGAGCCTGAAACCCTTCAGTGTGTGGGACGATGACCAACCAACTGAGCCAAACTGGCCAGGGCCCTTTGCATTATTTCCTATAACTTATAACTGCACATGAATCACAATTACCTCAATTTAAAAAAATCTGTCTCATAAAAAAAGTGTCTGAACAACCCAGCTAGTGTGGCTCAGTGGACTGAATGTCGTCCCATGGACTGAGAGGTCCGGGTTCAATTCCCAGTCAGGGCACGAGATCAGGTTGTGGGCTCGATCCCCAATAGGGGGTGTGCAGAAGGCACCCGATGAATGTTTCTCTCTCATCGATGTTTCTCTCTCTTTTCCCCTCTCTCTCAAAAAAAAAATCAATAAAAACATTTTTTAAAAAAATCTCAACATTCTTGTGCATACATATATATAATAGCTTCTTCCTTGGGATACCTTCCAAAAACGGAAGTTTTGAGTTGAAATCATACTTCTGTTAAGTGCCTGTGATGTGCCTGACCCTGTGGTATTAGTGCTGGGGACGACTGGAAGGACAGTTACCTGCCCATTGCTTGTAATCCGGCAAGGAAGGGTACCTCGGAGTAGAAGAAGCACCCGGCAGCCTGTGGTCACGGCCTGTGGCGAATGGCAGGTGATGCGCCCTCACGGGTGCTAGGAACGGGCATCGTTCTCACTGGAGCCATTGACGTCGGGTCATGACCAAGTCAACCTGACTGCACGGGCTCTGTGTGCAGAGCAACAGGACTTCCTTTCTGTGTTTCGTACCTTACATATGTTTTCTAATGTTTGGGGCAAAGTGAAGCCTAACAGGGTCAGCTGGTTTAGCAGTTGTCTGCAGGACACCATGGCTGAAGGGACCAGTTCAGAAGTATAGTGCCCACTGCCATCAGGACGTAAAACTGGGCAGCATCGGGACAACTGCCCGTAGCCAGGGCATCACTCAGAATTGTGGTCACGGTGTCCATCCACTACGCCAGCGTATGTGGGCGTGCATAGACATCAAAGCCTTGGGTTAGGTATTAGGAAGTGAAAGTAAACAAGGAAAAGTTATTTAGCAAAATAATCCAAAATTAATATATCCTGAGCTTTTCCCACAAGTTCAAGAAGAAACTTTTCTTTTTAAAGAAAGTTTCTCTGTCTTTTGAGAGTCTTAACTGCTTCTTAATAAATTTAAAAGAGCTCAGCCGGTGTGATTCGGTGGATTGAGCATCGCCCCATGTACTGAGAGGTCCTGGTTTGATTCCCAGTCAGGGCCCTTGCCCAGGTTGTGGACTGGGTCCCCGATGGGGGGCGGGCAGGAGGCGGCTGATGGATGTTTCTCTCTCACATCGATGTTTCTCTCTCTCTCCCTTTCTCTCTAAAAAGTTAATAAAAACATATTTTAAAATAAAAGAAATTTAAAAGAAAGAAATGCACACACATTTATATGTCAACCCAATGCGTGGCTATAATTACAATACCCAGTGAGATATACTTACAAAAAAAAGAAACTCATGATCAAAGGGTGTGTTGGGGTCCCCAAGGCCACCAGCTGATGCTCTGGCCTCGGGATTCCACCCATCGCCCTAGTCGTGGCTAAGATTGATTACAGTGAGAGGGTACCCATAGGATCGGCGGAGGGAGAGGCGCCCAGGAAACACCCAGAGGATCGCGGCGCAAGCCCACAGGACGTGCATTACTCCTCCGCCATCCAGTTCCCACAACAGATGTGGTGTCGTCTACGGGGAAGCCCACAGCCTGGGCGCCCCGGTTTTTATCGGGCCCTCGTCACCTCGGCACCCTCTGCCTGGCACATGCCAAAATTCCAGAAACCCGAGCCATGTCAGCAGTTAGGGGATGTGGGGACACCGCAAATCCAGCCAAGGACTGAACTTGCAGGCAGGCTTAAGGGTAGCAGCTTCACACCCCTTAACATGTCCGTGCAAGGGGATCTAGAACTTTCCAGGGTGTTTGCTTCTGTTCCTCTGTTTCTACTTTAATATCTTTCTGTTGGTGTCTTACAACTTGTTTGTCCGTGTGTGTATTCATATATTGTGTGTGTGTGTATATATACACAAACATATATCACATATATATACACACACACACATATTACACACACCATGAGTGTATATATACTCGTATATAGAATTTCACAAATGTATCATCTTGCTTTGTGACCTGATTTTCTTACTGACGATGTATCTGAAATATTTTTCGTGTCTAAGTATGCCTCCAGGTTTTGCACTGAAACCACTAACATCAGTGTTCTCTATTGATAATCTGCGTGTTTACGTGGTCAGCTTTGCTGGACGCAGAGTACTGACACTTCCTGGGCATTTCCTCCTCCTTCCTGTCCACCTGCCATGTCCTGACCCCACCACCCTATTTAGAAGCCCCAAGAGATTCAGTTTCGGATGACGCAGTCCCTCCAGACTTTGGAGGGATGGTGTGGCTGGAGGGAGCAGGATGGACTCAGAGTGAGGCTAAGCACCCTAAATACACCCACTCAGGTCCAGACCACAGTCCCCCTGCACAGAGTTAGCCATCCTGGGAGGTTTGAGGGCACAGCCTCCACCCAAGACCACCCTCAGTTTTGACACCAACTACAGGTTGGGAGTTTTCTGAAACCAGCTTCAGGTTCAATGATTCAGGACTAGAAGGACTCCCAGAAATCACTGGGAGCTGTGCTACTTGGGTGTCATTTACAGGGAAAGGGGACAGATTAGCATCAGCCAAGGAAACAGGTACATGAAACAGGGTGTGGGGGTTCACACCATGAGCTCCAGGGCCGTCTCCCCAGGGAGTCAAATTCCTTATTCTGCTGACATCACCATGTGACTACACTTGGAGCATCGCCAACCAGGGACACTCACCCGGGCGCCAGTGTCCAGAGTTTACTGGGGCTTCATCATGTAGGCATGTGACTGACTGATGGTACAGATATATAGACATGCCCAGGTTGTGGGCCAAATCCCCGGGGGGGTGGGGCATGCAGGAGTTGGCCAGTCGATGTTCTCTTTCATGGATGTTTCTATCTCTCCCTTTCCTTTCCTCTCTCAGTAAAATCAATAAAGAAAAAAAAATTTTTTTAAAGATATATAAACATGATTGATGGCCTGGCTGGTGTGGCTCAGTGGATTGAGCGTCGTCCCATGAACTGTGAGGTCCCAGTTAGATTCCTGGTCAGGGCACATGCCCAGGTTGCGGGCTGGATCCCCAGTAGGGGTTGTGCAGGAAGTAGCCGATAGATGTATCTCTCTTACATCAATGTTTCTCTCCCTCTACCTCTTCCTCTCTCTCTAAAAAATGAATAAAAACATTTTTAAAAAATATATAGAGAGACATGATTGATTGATTCTTAGCTCAGATGTTAACCTCAGCCTCCAGGTCAACCGATGCCCCATGACCCAAAACCCCCATCTCAAATCACCTGGTTGGTCCTTCTAGCGTGATTGTTGTAGACCAACAAGACAGACCAGACTCAGACTCCAAACTGGGTTCAAATTAAGAGAGCTTTATTAGCCTCGCGGCGATTGCCCCATCCTACTTAGAGGAGAGAGCAGCCCAGAGCTCAGGGGGTGGGTTGCTTATATAGTTGTCTTAGCCCCTGTTAAGGAATTTGGATTAGGGTATGCAAGCAAGCAAGCACTACTGAAGCAGATATTTGCAGTTAGCTGTTATGCTTGAGGGAACAATTAGTTTCTGTGTACACAAAGCAATGGTTATCTATACAATGCAGTGGTTATCTATTAGCATATTATTCTTGCCATTCCCTTAAAAATCCAGGGGGCAAGGTCATGTGTTTGTCCTTTACATGATGACTTTCCATCCTAGGACTGTTGGGTATGGCCAGCCCTGAGACTGTTGGGTATCCAAGCCCCACCCTGAGATGCAGTAGGCCAGCTGGTACCCAAAACAAAGACCTTCCTATCAAGTATGATGCAGATTACCTCTCAGAAGCTAAGGACAAAGGCCAGACCTCTCTTTGCTCAAGGCCAAATTCTTCTTCTTTTTTTTATTTTTTATTTTTTATCCTCACCTGAGGATATTTTTCCTTTTTTTTTTTTTGTACAGATAGAGTGGGAGGGAGAGAGAGGAAGGGAGAGAGAGAGAGAAACATCGACGTGAAGGGACACATCGAGTGGCTGCCACCCGCACGACCAACCAGGGCCGGGGACAAACTGCAACCGAAGTACGTGCCCTTAGCGGGAACCGAACCCGGGTCTCTCCGGACCGCAGGCCGACGCTCTAACTGCTGAGCCAAACTGGCCAGGGCTCAAGGCCAAATTCTTAATACTTCCTAACAGGGAGCTGGCCAGAAGTCTTCCTGCTAAAATGTCGGTCTGACTCCAAGGCAAAAAATAAATAAAAACTTCTCAGTTCTGTTCTGTACCACTGGGTTTCATGGAGTTTGGAGGAGAGCTTGTTTTTTTCCCCTTTTAATTTTTGCTGATGCGTCAGTGTCTGTGTGGGTGTTCGGGAAGGAGCTGGCAGTTCTTTGGAAGCAAAGATGGAGGAGCAAAAGGTTGTATGAGCCTGGCTGGTGTGGCTCAGTGGTGGAGCGTCCACTGTGCACCAGGAGGTCACCGGTTCAATTCCCGGTCAGGGCACATGCTCACGTTGTGGGCCAAGTCCCCAGTGAGGGGCATACAGGAGGCGGCCAGTCGATGTTCTCTCTCATTGATGTTTCTGTCTCTCCCTCTCCCTTGCTCTCTAAAAATCAATAAAGAAAAAAAAGATTAGCCCTGGCCAGTTTGGCTCAGCCATTAGAGTGTAGGCCCGCAGACCAGAGAGTCCTGGGTTTGGTTTCTGCTAAGGGCACGTACCTTGGTTGCATTTGTCCCGGACTCCGGTTGGGGTCGTGTGGGTGGCAACCACTCAATGTGTCTCTCTGACACGGATGTTTCTGTGTCTCTGTTCCTCCCCCTCTCCCTCCCGCTCTATCTGAAGATACATGCAAAAATGTCCTCAGGTGAGGATAAAAAAATAAAGGAAAAAAAAGATTAACAAAAAAAAAGAAGGTTGCATGCGTGAGTCATTTGGGGAACCAAGGTGCGCTGACTTGAATGCCTGTCTCTCCCCGTCTAGCTCTGACTGCTCTGGACTCCGCGTCTCCAGGAAAGGAAAGCCTCGGACGACTCATCAGTTTTTTATTCTAAAACATGGCCCACGTAAGTGTGTATTTCTTTCCTTCTTGAAATGTGATATTTAGGTTCTGTGGCTATTTTTAATTTTTTTTCTTTATTGACTTCAATATGTTTTTATTGATTTTTTTTAGATAGAGTGGAAGAGAGAGAGAGAGAGAAACATTGATGTGAGACAAACATCCATCAGCTGCCTCCTGCACGCCCCCTACTGGGGATCGAGCCGGAAACCCAGGCATGTGCCCGGACTGGAAATTGAACCAGGACCTCTCAGTCTCTGGGACTACGCTCAGTTCCCTGAGCCACACTGGCCAGGCTCTTTATTGATTTCAGAGAGAGAAGTGGAAACATTGATGAGAGAGAACATCAGTTGGCCACCTCCTGCATGCCCCCCACTGGGGATCGGGCCCACAACCTGTGCATGTGCTCTGACAAGGAATCAAACCCACAACCTATTGGTGTACAGGAGGACGCTGCAGCCAACAGAGCCACCTAGGCAGGGCACCCAAGAGGTCACTTTGTTGTTGAACAGAACTGCCCAGCCTCTGCCTCTGCACCATTTGATACCTGCATCCGCTAAATCAGGAGCAAAAGACGGGCAGGGGGTGGTCACAGGTGAGAGCGCCCAGTACAGAGGACTAGATGAGCACATGCTCCTGGAACTGGGGAAAGCCTTAGTCCTTTTGTCCAACCCAAGTGTGTAGTTATAATAATTAAGTCTAATTCATCCATGTGATGGAATTTTTAAAATGTTTTCATCATTACAAAGGAAGACTGCTTAGCCCTGGCCGGTTTGGCTCAGCAGTAGAGCATCAGCCCGTGGACCAATGAGTCCCAGGTTCGATTCCAGCCAAGGGCACGTACCTAGATTGCAGTTTATCCCCGACCCTGGTCGGAGTCGTGCAGGAGGCAACCAAGTCGATGTGTCCCTCTCATGCAGATGCTTCTCTTTCTCTGCCTCTCTCTCTACATGAAGATAAAAAGAAAACAAAGGAAGACTGCTTAAAAGGTAACTTGTTGTCCTGGCTGGGTAGCTCAGTCAGTTAGAGCATGGTTCCCATATGGCAAAGTTGTGGGTTCGATCCCCAGTCAGGGGACATACAAGAAACAACCAATGAATGCATAAATACGTGGAACAACAAATCATTGTTTTTCTCTCCCTCCCTCTCTAAAATACCTGGCAAAATTGTGAACTTGACGCTTGAAAACATTCAGACATGCCAACCCTATTTTTGAAGATAAGAGATTGTTATGTTTCCGAAACAAAACCAAAGGGATTCTTTTCTTTCCCTTCAAAGGGCAAAGTACGCCCTAGAAATCCACACCGGCTGAGAATGAGAGAATTGAGGCAGGCACGTGGCCAGCTCTGGGCACGGGAGTGAGCGGAACAGATTGTGTTTAAGCTCCGGCAGGTTGGCGTGCGGAAGAATTCCACAGGTGTAGCTGGCTTTCTCTGCATTAATATGGAGGATTCCGCTTGTCCCAGCCACGTCCTTGCTGTCCCCTGCCTTATCACAGGCTTTCAGTGAACACGCTGTATTCACTCCACCCACTCCATGCCCTCCTCTCCTCTCCTTCGTCTTGAAACTGTGCCCTCCCGTTTCATCAGACATGTGGGTTTGTGTTCACAGGGCCTGGTGACGTTCTCAGATGTGGCCATTGACTTCTCTCAGGAGGAGTGGGCCTGCCTGGACTCGACGCAGAGGGACCTGTACTGGGACGTGATGCTGGAGAACTACAGTAACTTGGTCTCACTGGGTGGGTTCCCTGCGTCATGTAACTTTGTGCTCCCTCAAATGTCAGCTCCGTCCACTGGGGATTTTAGGACCGTGTTTCAAGAAACAAGTTGAATCTTCCTGTTCCCAGGGAATGCTTTGAGCTTGGTCGAGCTGGAAGTGGGTTACGCACTTTCCCCTTGTCATCCATCAGTGATCTTCCCACCTTCGTCTGGCCCTTCCTGTAGTTACCACTTTCTTCATGAGCAAAGGATGACTTAGAATTCTGGAATATTCATTTCACAACCGTCTTCAAGAAAACCAAGCTTTATCTGATAGTATGTTTATACCCAAAATGCCTGAGTTTCTTTGGGGTGACTTGATTTCTCTGTAGAAGTGGATTGAATGAACAGAATTTGCATAAAACCAAACTGAGCATATTCCATTTCTGGCACATTATACCCAAAGTGAGGTCGAAAGTGATAAATCCATGAACTTTGAACTAAATATTAGGTGATACAATCTTGTTAATTGTCTTAGGAACTTTTTTTATTTTTTTGTTAGTAAAATAACAACCATAATATTTACAGCTAATACTGTGCTGACTGTATACCAGGCACTGTTCTAGGCTCTGTGTGTATAGAAATACATTTCATGTCATTCTTGCACTTTTATGAGAGAGGAACGATGACTCAGTCGGACATGTAGGTGAGTGTGCTGGGGCACAGAGGACATGGCAGACAGAGGGCAGAAGCAAGAACTGAATGTAAGAATTCCAGCCCAGAATCCATCCTGTCAGCTACCACGGTCTACTTGCCTCCAGGGATAAGGCCTTCAGAAGTTAAAATAAGACCTGTTTCTTGCCTGTCTGTTCTCTATTCCTCTCTCTCTCTTTTTTATTTTTCTTTATTGATTTTAGAGAAAGAGAAACATTGATGAGAGAGAACATCGATTGGCCCCCTCCTGCATGCCCCCCACTGGGAATTGGGCCGACAACCTGGGCATGTGCCCTGACCAGGAATCGAACTGGTGACCTCTTGGTGCATGGGTTGACACTCAACCACTGAGCCACACCCCACACTGGCTGGGCATCCTCTCTTTTTTGAAGTCTTTATGCTTTTGACTTTTAGGTGGTTAGAAATTTGCTTTTCCTGGGTTTCCCAGGTATGTCATCACAATACCTACAAACAGTGCTTTTTTGTCTTCATTTTCGAGATTTAGTTGTGTCAGCTGACAGGAAGTGGTGGGGCTGCTAGCCAGTCTCCAGTGTTTCCTCATGAAACACTGTGGTCCGAACAAGGCTCTAGTTGATTCATATTTACTCTACTAGGGAAGTTTGGGTGTGTAGTTGATTTGTTTTCTCTTTTTCTTGTAGACTTGGAGTCGCCATATGAGACCAAGAATTTGCCCACAGAGAAGGGTCTTTATGACATACGCTTTTCTAAATGGAGCTCCAATGGCAGAAGTAAGTCCCTTGGCCTTGACTGGATGTGTGAAGGTCAGTTGGAAGGAACGCACGGCCCTCCAGAGGGATATTTCAACCAAGTGAAAATCAACTATGTGAAAATGCCCGCTGACAGAGAACATACACCTGCGAGACCCCATCAGAAGCTTCATAACAGGGAGAATTCCTATGAGTGTAAGGAATGTGGGAAGGCCTTTAGTCGTGGCTACCAGCTCACTCAACATCAGAAAATCCACACTGGTGAGAAACCCTACGAGTGTAAAGAATGTAAAAAGGCCTTTCGGTGGGGCAATCAACTTACTCAGCATCAGAAAATTCACACTGGTGAGAAACCTTATGAGTGTAAGGACTGTGGGAAGGCCTTTCGGTGGGGTTCGAGCCTCGTTATTCATAAGAGAATCCATACGGGTGAGAAGCCCTATGAGTGTAAAGACTGTGGGAAGGCCTTTCGCCGTGGTGACGAGCTCACTCAACATCAGAGGTTTCACACTGGCGAGAAAGACTATGAATGTAAAGACTGTGGGAAGACCTTTAGCCGTGTGTATAAACTAATTCAGCACAAGAGAATTCACAGTGGCGATAAGCCCTATGAATGTAAAGACTGTGGGAAGGCCTTTATTTGTGGCTCAAGCCTCGCTCAACATAAACGAATTCACACGGGGGAGAAGCCCTATGAATGTCAAGAATGTGGGAAGGCCTTTACGCGCGTCAATTACCTCACGCAGCATCAGAAAATTCACACTGGTGAGAAGCCCCATGAATGTAAGGAGTGTGGGAAGGCCTTTCGCTGGGGTTCCAGCCTGGTTAAACACGAAAGGATCCATACTGGTGAGAAGCCATACAAATGCACAGAATGTGGGAAGGCCTTTAATTGTGGCTATCACCTTACTCAGCATGAGAGAATTCACACTGGTGAGACACCTTATAAATGTAAGGAATGTGGAAAGGCCTTTATTTACGGGTCAAGCCTTGTGAAACACGAGAGAATTCATACAGGGGAGAAACCCTATGAGTGTAAAGAATGTGGTAAAGCCTTTAGTCACGGCCATCAGCTTACACAGCATCAGAAAATCCATGCCAGTGAGAAACCCCGGGAGTGTAAGGACTGTGGGAACGCATGCAGCCATGTAAACCAGAGAATTCACAGTGCTGACACACCTTTTCAATACAAAGAACATTCGGAGGCCTCCAAACAGCATTCATTTCTTCTACAGCATAAGGAAAATTTGTGAGATGATTTAACGTAAGAAAGTCTTCATTGGTCACTCTTACAAAATATCAGGATAGTCATGCTAGAAGCAAATGTGGAGACTGGAGAAATCATTTTCCTCTATGATTACAACATACTCAGCATAGACAGTTTTTTCACTGGATGGGTTAGTTTAATGGATGCATCAAAGGTTTCCAGTACCTTTCGGTCTCACTTCAGATTCATCCTGGGGAATAGTGGCTAGTATAACCTAAGTGCGAAGCCTTTCATCATGGTACATACCCTACCGGTCATCATCATCATCCCACCTCTGACTCCCTGTGAAACACTGGGCAAGTTAGCTTTTACCTCTGTGCATTATTTGTGAAATGGGGTAATCACACTACCTAGTACTGCTGTCGTGACTAAATGAGTCTGGTACATGTAGACTCCTGGACTATTGTGTAAGCTCAATAAACAGTGTCTGTTGTTTCTGTCATCATTACCATCAGTGTGGCTGCTAGTGAATTCTTACAGGAAGACCCCCTGTGGGTGATGAGATTATCTTAGAAAAGATTATCAGACTTCTACAAGGAAACGAGTTTTCGTAAAAGACACTAAACCTAAGTAAGGTTAATAAGTTGAACTTCATCAAAAGTACAAAGTTCTGGTCACCAGTGGCACCATGAGGAAGTGAAAAGGCAAGAAGCAGGGACATGGCCTGGAGTGAGGGGTCGTGGACAGAAGGAAATAGGGGAAGAGTATTACACATTAGGACTCGTGGTTCAAGGAGCAAAAACCCAGCTCAAAGTAGCCTAAGAGGGTAGGGTGGGAGAATGAGAAGTGATTGACCCCTGCAGAGGTCCACTGGCTGTAGCTTCCAGTTGACCCAGGTTTCCGCGACATCCACCTAAAGTCTCGGCTCTGTTTTTTTTATTTTTAAATATATGTGCATACCACATCTTTTTATTTATTTTTTATCTGAGCGCGAGCCCGAGGACTTTTTTGCTTTTATCCTCCCTCAGAGCAGGAGGAAGAGAGAGAAACATCAATGTGAGAGAGACACATTGACTGGCTGCCACCCACAAGATCCCGACTCGAGCTGGGGACAAACTGCAACCAAGGTACATGCCCTTAGTGGGAACCGAACCCGGGTCTCTCTGGACTGCGGGCCGACACTCTAACCGCTGAGCCAAACTGTTTAGGGCTCAGGTCTGCTTTCTTTTTTTTTCTTTTTTTTTTTTTTAATCCTCACCCGAGGATATATTTCCATTTTTTGTACAGATAGAATGGGAGGGAGAGAGAGGAACGGAGAGAGAGTGAGAAACATCGATGTGAAGGGACACATCGAGTGGCTGCCACCCGCACGATCAACCAGGGCCGGGGACAAACTGCAACCGAAGTACGTGCCCTTAGCGGGAACCGAACCCGGGTCTCTCCAGACTGCAGGCCAACGCTCTTGACCGCTGAGCCAAACTGGCCAGGGCTCAGGTCTGCTTTCTTAATGGTAGTTTTTAGCGTAGGGTCCTGAACACGCCGGCATCCATCATGTGTCATGTAGTATCAGGAAGAGGGAGGCTCCCAGCACTTCCCCAGGTTTTGCAGAGTGGAGCCTCCCAGACCAACTGGTTCCGGAATCTAATCTGGAAACTCTCCCGTGGCAAGGTGGATTATAAATCTCTCCAGCTGAGCCTCATAACCACCCTGGAGTTCATGTAAAGCTCACAACAGAGGGTGAGTTTGAGTTGTTTTTTTAATCCTCACCTGAGGACATTTTTCAATTTTTTGTTCAGATAGAGTGGGAGGGAGAGAGAGAGAGAGAGACATCAACGTGAAAGGGACACATCGAGTGGTTGCCACCTGCACGACCCAACCAGAGCTGGAGACAAACTGCAACCGAGGTACGCGCCCTTAGCAGGAACTGAACCCGGATCTCTCTGAACCGCAGGCGGACACTCTAACCGCTGAGCCAAACTGGCCAGGGCGAGGTTGAGTTTTTTAACACAGAACATCCAGAACTCTCTCCTAAATTGACCAGACCCTAGACAGAATCAGCTGAGAGAGGAAAGGAGAGGGAGAGACAAAAACATCAATGAGAGAGAATATCTATTGGCCACCTCCTGCACGCCCCCGACTGGGGATCAGGCCCACAACCTGGGCATGTGCCCTGACTAGAGTCAAACCAGTGGGACCTCTTGATGCATGGGTCAATGCTCAGCCACTGAGCCACATCGGCCAGACTTTTTTTCAGTTTTAAAATTACAAAACAGTTCCTGTTAATACCATACTCTTTTTTTTTCTTTCAAACTTTTCTGGTAATTCATTTATTCTTTTATTTTTTATTTGAATTCACTAGGGTGACACTGGTTAACAAAATCACACTGGTCTCAGGTGCAGTTGTACAACATGTTATCTGCACTGCATTGTGTGTTCACCACCCCAAGTCAAGTCTCCCTCCATCACCATTTGTCCCCCACACCCTCCCCCACCTCCTCCCCCCTTCCCCGGTAATCACCACACTGTTGTGTGCATCCATGAAATCTTTTTGTTTTGCTCAATCCCTTCACCCCAGCTCCACCCCCACAGCTGTCAGCCTGCTCTCTATGAGTCTCTTTCTATTTTGCTTGTGAGTTCATTTTGTCTATTAAATTCCACATGAGTGAAATCTTATAGTACTTGTCTTTCTCTATATATACTTTTTTTTTTTCCTCACCCGAGGATATTTTTCCATTTTTTGTACAGATAGAATGGGAGGGAGAGAGAGGAAGGGAGAGAGAGAGAAACATCGATGTGAAGGGACACATCGAGTGGCTGCCACCCACACGACCACCCGCACGACCAACCAGGGCCGGGGACAAACTGCAACCGAAGTACGTACCCTTAGCGGGAACCGAACCCGGGTCTCTCCGGACCGCAGGCCGATGCTCTAACTGCTGAGTCAAACTGGCCAGGGTTCTATATATACTTTTTAAAAATTTATTTTAGAGAGAGAGGTAGGGATATGGAGAGGTAGAAACATCAATGAGAGACACTGATGGCTGCCTCCTGCATGCCCCTCACTGGGCATTGGGCCCACAACCTGGGCATGTGCCCTGACCAGGAATCGAACAGGTGATCTCTTGTTGCATGGGTTGATGCTCAAAGACCGAGCCACACCATCCAGGCCAAGTCCTTTTTAAAATAATGTTTTCTAATTAATTTTTTATAGAGAGAGAGAAAAACATCAACCAGCCGCCTCCTGCACTCCCCCTACTGGGGATTGAGCCCAAAACCTGGGCATGTGTTTTGACCAGGAATCGAACTGGGACCTCTCTGTTTATGGGACAACACTGAATCCACTGAGCCACAAGAGCCGGACTGAGATCAAGACTTTAATTGCTATGCTGAGTGACCACAATATGGGCACAACACAGCCTACGGGTTTTCTATGGACTGTATTGACCAGATCCCAAGACAACCCTGGTGGACAGTCTCCTGGTCTCCACATGCTGATGAACATGTCAAGGTGCAGACACAGGTCGCAGAGTAACGGCTTGCTCTGGCGAGTGTTGCTCAATGGTTAGAGCACCGGTCCTCAAACGAAGGTCGTAGGTTCAATTCCAGGTCACGGTCATGTACCTGGGTTGCAGGTTTGATTCCCAGCTCTGGTTGGGGGGGTAAATATTTAGCCTGCAACTATTAACTCTGATTTGGGCCATACCATTTCCCCCCATCACCATTTATCCCCTCTATGTCCTCTTCCACCTCCACCCCACACCTCTGGGCCGTAACATGTTACATAAAATACACCATTCTTTTTCCTGGAGAATTGCCCACATTCTAGGTTTGACTGATTGTTTTCCATTGATTAAGTGACTGTCCCTTATGTCTTCTATAAGCTGACAGTTGACCCAGAGGCTTGATTACATTGATTCAACTTTTCAAGACTACGTTATGGACATTCTGAGTTGCCTACTGTAGCACAGTGGGGCTGTTCCCATGCCAGGGTGCTAAGAATGACAAATCAGGCGATGTCACTCTTCTCCATCAAACTGTCACTTAGTTTTAGTCTCCATTAATTGACATTTTCCAACCCTGCAATTTCACCAGGGCTCTGTCAACCTTTTTTTTTATTCCTCTTAGAACTTTGCTGCTCACTTTCTGGACCTTCATCCCCCGAGTGGTTCTTGTCTTTACTCCACCGCAGCGGCTGGTTCCCAGACAACCCTGTACTGTCTCATCACTATCACCAACATCCGCAAACCTCAACCTCAAGTGTTCTGATCTGTAGTAACATCACCCTGTCCTGTCTTTCCAGTTTCACTCCTTCCTGTTCTGCCCACCGGCAGGGTTGACAGGCACTGCGCTGCTCCTCACAGTGACCTCAACTGCTCGAGGAGCGCGAGTCTGGGGCAGGAAAGTACAAGAAATATGGTCATTGACAATGTTATGTCAATTTTATCTCAATAAAGCTGGGGGAGAATAAGAATGATGTCTCTAGCTGATCTGGCTGTTGTTAGAGCTTCAGTCCGCTGACGGAAGGGTCGTGGGTTTGATTCCCAGTCAAGGGCACATACCTGGGTTGCAGGTTTGACCCCCAGCCCTGTCGGGGTCATGTGGGAGGCCACCATATGATATATGTCTCACATGAATGTTTCTCTCTCCCTCCCTTTTTTTTTTTTTTAATCCTCACCCGAGGATATTTTTCCATTTTTTGTACAGATAGAGTGGGAGGGAGAGAGAGGAAGGGAGAGAGAGAGAGAAACATCGACGTGAAGGGACACATCGAGTGGCTGCCACCCGCACGACCAACCAGGGCCGGGGACAAACCAACCGAAGTACGTGCCCTTAGCGGGAACCGAACCCGGGTCTCTCCGGACCGCAGGCCGACGCTCTAACCGCTGAGCCAAACTGGCCAGGGCTCTCCCTCCCTTTCTATCTAAAAATCATTAGAAAATTATCCTCAGGTGAGGATTAAAGAAAAAAAAAAGATCGACCTGGCTGGTTGCTCAGTGGTTAGAGCATTGGCCTGTGGTCTTGAGAGACCCGGGTTTGGTTCCCCAATAAGTGCATGTACCTCAGTTGCAGTTTGTCCCCGGCCCTGGTTGGGTCATGTGGGTGGCAACCACTCGATGTGTCCCTTTCACGTTGATGTTTCTTTCTCTCTCTCCCCCTGCCCCTCTATCTGAACAAAATATCGAAAAATGTCCTCGGGTGAGGGGAAAAAAATCATTTCTCTACCAGTATGAAATGACCCACTTCATCTATTGCTTTTCTTTTTTATTTTTTCTTTATTGATTTTAGAGAAACATTAATGAGAACATGGATTGGCCACCTCTTGCATGTCTCCTACCAGGGATTTTACCCCCACTGGGGATTGGGCCCACAACCCAGGCACATGCTCTGACCAGGAATCGAACTGGTGACCTCTGGATGCACTGGTCGACGCTCAACCACTGAGCCACACTGGCCGGGCTGTTACTCTTTTTCTTAAAGTCTACTTTGTCTGATATTAATACAGCTCTGCCAGTTTTCTTGTGTTTATTTTTCATTGGTTTTCAGAGAGAGACATCAGTGTGAGAGAGAAACATCAGTCAGTTGCCTCCCACACATGCAGTAACCGAGGACGAAACTCACAACCTGAGCATGTGCCCTGACCAGGAATCGAACCTGCCAACTCTTGTTCAACAGGACGACGCTCCAACCAACTGCACCACACCAGCAAGGGCATTATGTTACTATTTGCATGACCCATTTTCTTTCTTTCTTTTACTTCTAACCTATTTGTATCCTAATATTTCAAGTGTGTCTCTTGACACAAAATGTTGGAACCACATGGATGGACCCAGAGGGTGTTATGCTGAGTCAAGTAAGTCTGACAGAAAAAGACAAACACCATATGATCTCACTTAGATGTGAAATCTGAAACAGACTAAACAAATGTACGAAACAGAAACTCCTAGGTCCAGAGAGCAGAGTGAGGTTGCCAGAGGGGAGGGAGTTTGGGGGCAGAATGAAGTTGAAGGAATTAGCAAGTACAAATGGTAGTTACAAGGTAGACAGGGAATAGTCAATAATATCATAGTAATTATGTACAGTGTCGGGGATCACTTCTTAAGTTATATAAATGTCTAACCACTATGCTGTGCACCCGAAACTAATATATATATATATATATCCTCACCTGAGGATATTTTTCTGTTAGAGTAGGAAGGGGGGAGAGAGAGAGAGAGAGAGAGAGAGAGAGAGAGAGAGAAAGGGAGAGGGACACACTGACTGGTTGCCTCCTACATCACCCTGACCAGGGCCTTGAAGGAACCACAATCAAGCAACGTGCCCTTGATGAATCGAACCTGCGACTCATTGGTCCGTGGGGCCACTGACCAAAACCAGCCAGGGCCGAAACTAGTATAGTGAATGTCTACTGTAAGTGTGAAAAACATTTTTTAAATAGATTTTAGAGAGAGAGAGGAAGGGAGATGGGGAGAGACAGGAACATCGATGAGAGAGAACATCTATTGGCTGGTTTCTGCATGCTCCCCACTGGGGATGTGCCCTGACCAGGAACTGAACCTGGTGCATGGGTCGATGCTCAACCACTGAGTCACACCAGCCAGGCGTAATTGTGAAAAACTTAAAAAATTAAACATTGAAAACAATAAAGCACAACTTGACACAATATAAAGTTGAAACGTGTCTTTTCTTATGTGGCAATCTGTTTCCCCTGGAAATAGGCATAAGAAGGAAATAATACCTTCTTACGTGCAGGTAATATTTGATTACTTCTTCTGATTGCTGTTTGGTTACCTGTCGTACTTTCCTTTGTGGAAATTCATCTTTCTGCACACTTAACGCATGCATTTTTCTGTACGCATATCCTGCTTTTTAAAAGTTTACAAATCGTACCCTATTAAAGGTATTCTCTGGCAGTGAAGCCAGGGCTCTAAAGCCATCCCACCTTCACACTCCACAGAGGCTCAAAGTCTCCACTGAACTAGAAGACACCTCCACACAGGAGGTTCCACACGCCATCTGTCTCCTGCGGTTACACTGATTCGCACTTAGAGGTAGATTTGTCAAGAGTTTCAGAGCTTGAGGGTGGTGGCTGTTGATCACTGGTCTTCTCCAAGCTGTGCTGGATCCCATATCCAAAGTATATGGCAAAGCCTAGTGCAGAAATGAGACATGAGAGGGGAAAGTACTCTACAGGCTATGGCATCTGGTTGGGGGGGAAAGGTAGAGGAAGAAGGTTAGGTTCAGTCACCCAAGAGACCTCCTTTGCCCAGAAAGCCATTTACCAATCGTCATCCAGATGCCAAATTGGACCCAGGTCATAGAGGTCATCTGCATCATCAAGTAGACATTCACAAAGATGCTGATCAGCGGGAGGACAGGCAGAGCAGGAACCTGCAAGCAAAGCCAGAGAGTCCCTGAACATACCACGGATTCTCACAAGAGGGCTCCCTAGCCCACTGGGTGGAAAGGCTCCAGTCCTATTCAGACTACGCATTCAATGCCTACTCATTCGGGGCATCCCACTGGGTGTTCCCGAGTGTGGGTCAGGGACTGGTCCATTGGTTTTAGCAACAGCCCCTGCCTTCCCTGGTCCAGGGACGTATGCAGAGTTCATTCCCTCAAGGTGGACAGTGGGGGCATCAAGTCACCTACCTTGAAGTGAAGAGGAGTCGGGTTCTGGGGCTGCCTCCAGATGATGAAAGTGACCCCCACAATGAGCAGCAGCAGCAGCCCAGTCACCGTGGTGGACACTGGGTCTCCAGAGACCAGAAGGTTAGACCACCGGGCCAGGATCAGGCTCAGGGTGGTCAGCAGGGGAGCTGCAGGGGTCAAGTTGGAGGAGAACAGGTCCAACTTCAGAAGCCAAATGTGTCAAGAGCTTGGGTCACGGCCATGTCCCACCCCCAAACTGTCCACGTCAAGGTGGACCAGCATATCTCCCAGACTCCTCCACACTCCCACCTCCTCCTGTCAGTCAGGACACCGAAGGGACAGCCCGCGGCTCACCCAGCAGTAAGGCACACCCGTAGACAATCTGGCCAGATTGCCGAGTGGGGACGGCGATCCCAGGGTTACACAGACTTTTTAGAGTCTTCGAGATCCCTGCTTCAGGGATGGATTCCAAAGAACTTGCTTCAAGCTTCGGCTTTGTCTCCGTAATTTCCACCTCCGTTTTCTCATTCTTGCTTAAAGTCTGGTCTGGCTGGTACCTGAATTAGAGTTGCGGATGCAGTATTCACACCAGCCTCCACCCACCCAACAGCAGACAGTTTCTCCCCACCCTGAAAGTCACAGCACCCAGAGGCGGCAGGAAGACAGAAGAATAAATCCCCCATCAATACCCATCGGTTTAAGACCCCTCATTCAAGACGTAGTGGGGTCTCACCTGAGGACAAGCACAGAAAAGGCCACCAGGGAGTAAGCAAGCAGGGTCCCAATTGACATGAGATCCACGAGATCGTTGAGCTCGAAGAGGAACGCCATGATCGCTGCAATGAGGGTGCAAACGAGTGGGGGGAGAGGGGGGAGAACCCTCTGAAACTATCAAAGCTGAGCAAATTAATCGAAAAGGAGTAGGTTTTCACCCCCGCCGGTGTGGGTCACTTAGTTGAGCACCTGCCCGAGTTGGGGGCTCGATCCCCAGTAGGGAACAGACATGTGGGAGGCAACTGATCAATGTTTCTCTCTCTCTCTAAAATCAATAAAAACATTTAAAGCGACTTCCCTGGCCCCCACCACCTGGACCAGTAAACCGCCCCTTGGGAATGCTTCAATAAAATTTTCTTGCCTGCTACAAAAAAATAAAAACATTTAAAAAAAATCAAAAGGAGTGGGTTTTGCATATTCACCTGCAAGACTTCCAGAAACGACAGTGGCTATGACGGGGGTTTGCGTGCGGGCGTGGATCCGGGAAAGTCCCCGGAAAAGGAGCCCATCCTCAGCCATTGCGAAAATCACCCGAGGCATGGGGAACATGGACCCCAGGAGGCTGGGGGAGAAAACGGAAATGTGTGTGAGGATACGGAGCAGGAGGGACCAGGGCTTCTGCTGCCTAACCTACACGATTTAAGATGTCTCTCCCTCTCATCTCTCCATCCAAGACTGAGCGACCTGAGAACTGGATAAACAAGGAGAAAGCTTTTTATTTTTATTTATTTATTTATTTATTTTATCCTCACCTAAGGACATTTTTTTTTTCTTCCATTTTTTGTACAGATAGAGTGGGAGGGAGAGAGAGGAAGAGAGAGAGAGAAACATCGACGTGAAAGGGACACATCGAGTGGCTGCCACCCGCACGACCAACCCAAGCCGGGGACAAACTGCAACCGAGGTATATGCCCTCAGCGGGAACCGAACCCGGGTCTCTCTGGACCGCAGGCCGACGCTCTAACCGCTGAGCCAAACCGGCCAGGGCGAGAAAGCTTTTTAAATGTATCTTTGTTTTGAAAGTATTACAGATGTCCCTCCTCCTCCCCACCTTCCATTGACCCCCACCCCTCCACCTTCTGTGTCCGCCCATTGGTTATGCATATACTTTCTTTGATTGATCCCCCCCCACCCCCCCAGGGAGAAAGCTTTTGACACTGACCTGGATGTAAGGGCACAGAGGGTCCCAGCAGCCACGACATATCTGGCAGGGGCCCACCCAACATAGAGAAAAGCCTCTGGCAGGGGGCTGTCGGAATGGATCTGGTAGTAGGGTACCATGAGGGTGAGCGCCGCCGAGACACCAAAGTAGGCCAGGAAGCAGATGAAGAGCGAGATCACGGTGCCCAGGGGGATGGAACGCTGAGGATTTCGGGCTTCTTCCCCTGCAGGACCGGTGGACACAGTCAGGGAGACACACCCACACGAGGGGACAAAGCCCTCTTCCAAAGCCTCCAAGAGCGGGCTGACCTTCCACCAACCCAGCGCCCAGCGGCAGCCTGAACGGTGCCCAAACCCCGAATGGGGCAGAATGACCGTGTTACCCGCAGTGGCAATGCAGTCGAAGCCAACAAACGCATAGAAACACGTAGCTGCTCCACGGAGGATCCCGTCAAAGCCGAAAGGCACAAACCCTCCAGCGCCCAAAGCGCCCAAGCTGTGGTGAGAGAAGGTACAAGGGAGAACGTGGGTGGGCAGTGTTCGGCCATCGCTACTGGACCCCAGTCAAAACCAGTCCTGGACTCCATTCCCGCCACCCCCTGGCCCCATCAGCCCCGATCTGTCCCCCCCATCCCCAGCTCTGCGCTCCACACACATGACTATGGCCGAATGCCCTCCTGACCTAGAGGTGTCGTTGGATCCCAATTTGGCCAAGTTGTAGTCCTGTTCCGTGAGCTGCCAGTGATGCAGATCGCCCTTGATGAAGCCAGAGAGGATGATGAAGCTGAGAACCAGAAGGTTCATGCCCGTGAACATCTTGGTAACCAGGGCTGACTCACTAGCCCCCAGAACCAGCAGACCTGTGGGGACGATGGAACAGAACATTAGATGGAAAGCAACTAGAGGTCCCCAGTGGCTGGGGGGCAGGCGGGATGGGCGGGGGCTGCCTCATGGGTACGGGGTTTCCTTTTTGGGGTGATGACAATGTTCTGGAACTGGACGAAAGTGATGGTCTCACAACATTGTGAGTGTACTAAGGGCCACTGAATTGTACACTTTGTTTATGTATTTACTTTAAGTGTTTTCTTTTTTATGTTTTTATTGATTTTCTTTTTTTTTTTTATCCTCACCCGAGGATATTTTTCCATTTTTTGTACAGATAGAGTGGGAGGGAGGGAGAGAGAGAAACATCGACGTGAAGGGACACATCGAGTGGCTGCCACCCGCACGACCAACCAGGGCCGGGGACAAACTGCAACCGAAGTACGTGCCCTTAGCGGGAACCGAACCCGGGTCTCTCCGGACCGCAGGCCGACGCTCTAACCGCTGAGCCAAACTGGCCAGGGCTATTGATTTTCTATGTATTTATTTATTTTTGTTACAGATGTTTCTCCTTTTCCCTCCATTGACACCCTCCCTCTCCCTCCCTATCCCCAAGTTTTTATTGATTTTTTAAATTTATTTTTTAAAATTAATTAATGTATGTATGTATGTATTTATTTAGTTATTTATTTTAATCCTCACCCAAGGACATTTTTCCATTTTTTGTTCAGGTAGAGTGGGAGGGAGGGAGAGGAACAGAGAGAGAGAGAGAAACATCGATGTGAAAGGGACACATCGTGTGGCTGCCACCCGCACGACCGAACTGGGCCGGGGACAAACTGCAACCGAGGCACGCACCCTTAGCGGGAACCGAACCCAGGTCTCTCTGGACCGCAGGCCGATGCTCTAACCGCTGAGCCAAACCGGCCAGGGCAATGTATTAATTTTTGTTACAGATGTTTTCCCTTTCCGCCCCATTGACACCCTCCTCCCCCTCCCTCCCCGCCCTGTCTCCAGCTTTGTTGTCCATGTCCATTGTTCATGTACACATGCATATAAGTTCTGTGGTTTACCCCCCCCCCCCCAATCTGGGGATTGTCTGTCTGTACCCTACTTCCATGTCTCTGGGACTATCCTGTTTAAAAAATTATTTTTTAAAATCCTCACCCACTTTTACATTGATTTTCAGATAGAGTGGGAGGGAGGGAGAGAGAAACATTGATGTGAGAGAGACACATTGATTGGTTGCCTCCTGCAGGACCCCAGTCAGGGCCAGGGATCGAACCCACCACTGAGGTACGTGACCTTGACTGGAATCGAACCTGTGACCCTTTGATCTGCAGGCGGATGCTCTAACTGTTGAGCCAAACTGACAGGGCTTTTTATTGATTTTTAGAGAGGAAGGGAGAGGGAGAGATAGAAATACTGATGTGAGAGAGAAACATTGATCAGCAATCTCCTGTACGCCCCCTACAGGGGATCGAGCAGAAACCCAGGCATGTGCCCTGACTGGGAATCAAACTTGCTTGGAACAAGTCTCAACCAACTGAGCCACACCAGCCAAGACCGAATTGTACACTTTAAAATGGTTGATTTCTGCCTGGCCAGTGTGGCTCAGTGGTTGAGCATTGACCCATGCACCAGGAGGTCACAGGTTCGATTCCTGGTCCGGGGATATGGCCAGGTTGTTGGTCAAATCCTCAGTGGGGGCATGCAGGAGGCGGCTGGTCAGTGTTCTCTCTCACTGATGTTTCCATCTCTCTCTCCTTCCTCTCTCTAAAATCAATAAAAAATAAAATAAAATGGTTGAATTCTGCCTTGGCTAGTTTTGCTCAGTGGTTAGAACGTTGGCCCGAGGACTGAAGGCTCTCAGGTTTGATTCTTTTTAAAATCCTCACCCGAGGACATTTTTGCATTTATCTTCAGATACAGTGGTAGGGAGAGAGGGAGGAAGAGCGGGAGGGAGAGAGGGGGAAAGGGAGAAAGAGAGAAACATTGATGTGAGAGAGACACATCGAGTGGCTGCCACGCACAGGACCCCAACTGGGGCAGGGACAAACTGCAATGGAGGTATGTGGGCTTAGTGGGAACCAAACCCAGGACTCTCTGGTCCAAGGGCTGACGCTCTAACCCCTGAGCCAAATCAGCCAGAGCTCGGGTTTGAGTCTTTTTTTTTTCTTTTTCCTTTTGATACGTGCCCCTAGCGGGACCCGAACCCAGAACTCTCCAGTCCGCAGGCCAATGCTCCAACCGCGGAGCCAAACTGGCCAGGGCTCGGGTTTGATTCTTGGTCAAGGGCACATACCTGGGATGCAGATTCGATCCCCAGCCCTGGTCAGGGTGTGTGTGGGAGGCAACCCATCAATGTGTGTGTGTCTGTGTGTCTCCCCTTCCCTCCCTCCTTTCCACTCTCAAGAAATCAACAAAAAATACCCTCAGGTGAGGATTTAAAAAAAGTATCAAGAGTTCCAAGGGTGAGAAACAATGGTCTCTAGTTTGCCTTCCTGTCTATCCCACCCACAACCCTGCTTTCTGGTCTCTCATCTTCACCACCTCCCAGCTTTCCCTCCATGGCCCCCCCGCCCCCCCCCCGCCCCCGCCCCGTCTGTGATCCCGCCTCACCGGTGAGCAGCAGCACCAGGCCCAGCGAGAAGAAGTCCAGGTAGCTGGCCAGGTGGGGGACACGCAGAGGCATACTTTCCCGCAGCACCTGCGAGATGCGGTTCCCAGCCAGGCTGTCCACCGAGGAGCTCCATGCCCTGGCCACACTGGCGCTCCCTGAGGGGCAGAAGAGGTCACTTTCATTTGCGAACAATCGGCGCCCCTGCTAGGCACCCTGGGATACAGTTTCGGGAAAAACAAACATTCAAAATACAAATCTCAAAGAGTTTCATTTCTTCTTTTCTTTTTTTCCCTTTCCTTAAATGATTTTTATTTATTTATTTATTTTTATCCTCACCCGAGGACATTTTTTCCATTTTTTTGTTCAGGTAGAGCGGGAGGGAGAGAGAGGAAGAGAGAGAGAGAGAGAAACATCGATGTGAAGGGACACATCGAGTGGCTGCCACCCGCACGACCAACCAGGGCCGGGGACAAACTGCAACCGAGGTACGTGCCCTTGGCGGGAACCGAACCCGGGTCTCTCGGGACCGCAGGCCGATGCTCTAACCGCTGAGCCAAACTGGCCAGGGCTTAAATGATTTTTAAAAATTTGTTTTTATTTATTGATTTTAGAGAGAGGAAGGGGGAGAGAGAGAAACATCGAACCCGCCACCTTGGAGTATCAGAACACTAACCAACTGAGCTACCGGGCCAGGGCTTCAAAGACATTCTTTTCTTCTATTCATGGGGTGGGGACAGCAAACACAGATGTTTCTCTCAAAACAGGTCAACTGTTTTGTACGTCAAAAGGGGTCAATGCCAGGCCAGGAAAGAAACCAGGGAAGTGGGACCTAGAGGCCTGGGACACACGGGCGGAAACTGTGAATGGGGCGCTCAGCGGAAATCTCAGGAAGCCAACAGCTGAGCAAAGACCGCCCCACGGGGAGGGAAGGAGCCTCGGGGAACGTCTCTCTCCCACAGTTCTTCCCGATCCCTACAGTTCCCATTTCTTCCTGGTTCAGTCATTCCAGGAGAGCAGTTGAGGAGAGTCAAGTGTGGGGGCTGTCCTCACACCATCCCCCACCTCCCCTCACAAGGTGGAGAGCAAAGCGTTCATGGACGAGGGTGAAGACCCCAGCCCCCCTCCTGTTCTCCTGATCATCTCAGCTTTGTTTCCCCCACCACGGTCCTGCCATCTCACCAATGACATAGGAGAGAATGAGGGTCCACCCAGTGATGAAGGCACACAGTTGTCCCACCGTGACGTAGCTGTAGAGATAGGCAGAACCGGAGCACGGTACCCGGGCCCCAAACTCCGCGTAGCAGAGCCCAGACAACACTGAAGTCACGGCAGCCACCAAGAAGCAGAGGACAATCGCCGGCCCAGCCTTGTCCTTGGCCACTTCCCCAGCCAGAATGTACACGCCTGCCCCGAGGGTGCTGCCCACACCAAAGGCCACCAGGTCGAGGGTGCTCAGACAACGGGCCAGGCGGGTGTCAGACCCCGCCTTCAGCTCCAGGGGCCGCCTGCGAACCAGCTTCTGACTGAACTGGCAAATATGCTGCCACAGCATCCTAGATGGAGTTGAGGAGGAGGCTTAGTCTGCGGAGGAAACGAGACAGAAAGCCATCATTGCCCCGCTGGTGTGGCTCAGTGGTTGAGTGTCGACCCATGCACCAAGAGCTTGCTGGTTTGATTCCCGGTCAGGGCACATGCCCAGGTTGTGGGCCCAATACCCAGTGGGGAGCATGCAGGAGGCAACCAATTGATGTTCTCTCTCATCAATATTTCTATCTCTCTATTCCTCTCCCTTTCTCCCTTTCTGTAAAATCAAGAAAGGGGGACAATAAGGATGTCCATCATGCCCAGCCGGTGTGCTCAGTGGTTAGAGGATCAGCCCATGGACCAATGAGTTTCGGGGGTAATTCTAATCAAGGGCATGTACCTCAGTTGTGGTTCAGTCCCTGGCCCCAGTCGGAGTCATGCAGGAGGCAATCTATTTCCTACCTGTCTCTCGCATCGGTGTCTCTCTCTCTCTCCCACTCTGAAAATAAATGAAAAAATATCCTCGAGTGAGGGTTAAAAAAAGAAAAAATGTTGCCCTGGCCGGTTTGGCTCAGCGGTTAGAGCATCAGCCTGTGGTCCAGAGACCCAGGTTCGGTTCCCGCTAAGGGCACGTACCTCGGTTGCAGTTTGTCCCCGGCCTTGGTCGGTCGTGCGGGTGGCAGCCACTCGATGTGTCCCTTTCATGTCGATGTTTCTCTCTCTCTCCCCTCTCTCCCGCTCTGATTATAAAAATGGAAAAACGTCCTTGGGTGAGGATTAAAAAAAAAGGTCTGCCCAACCGGGAGACCACGCTCTGTCCTCCCTTCCTTTACATAATTTTTCTTTATTGATTTCAGAAAGAAAGGGAGAGGGAGAGATGGAATCATCGCTGAGAGAGAACATCGATTGGCTGCGTCCTGCATGCCCCCACTGGGGACTGGGCCCACAACCTGGGCATGTGCCCTGACCAGGAGTCGAACCAGCGACCTCTTGGTGCATGGGTCCGGACCAGAGGAAAATATTTTCATTATTCCCTCCTTTATTTGATAAGTGACTTCGATAAGTGAGCTGGCAGGTCACATATTTCTCTTCCAGACCCTGAAATCTGATAGTTCCCTGGGGTTTTGTTTGCTCCTTTTCGAATTTAAATGGATTTGGAATTTGGAGCTGGGCGGGGCGAGACGGAATTTGCCGGGAGAGATCCTAACCCAGCTCAGGGAAAACATCACCGGACGCTCCCAGCTGGCTGCAGGAAGAGTCTTCATTCCACATCAGAAAGGACCTCACTGCACCTCTCTGCAAGGACTAAAAAGCCTTTACTAGAAAACTCTGACCCAGGCTACATTAATGATCCTTGAGGAGATTATGCTAAGTGAAATAAGCCCGTCACAGAAAGACTGATTCCACTTTCCTGCATGAGCTAGTGGTCAGATTCACGGAAACAAAGGAGAATGGTGGGGGGCTGGGTGAGAAAGGTGAAGGGATTAAAAGGTACAAAGTGGTTGTTACAGAGGAGTCACTGGGCGTAAAGTACAGCGCAGGGAATGTAGTCAATAGGAGCATAGCCCTGGTCCGGGTGACTCAGTTGCTTGGAGCGTCATCCCCTGCACCAGAAGGTTGTGGGTTCACATACCTAGGTTGTGGGTTCATTCTCGGTGGGGGAGGGGCAAGAGGCAATGTTTCTATTTCTCTCCTATCCTTTCTCTCTAAAACAAGCATATCCTTGGGTAAGGATTAAAACAAAAACAAACTCTATTTAAAAAATTAAAATAAATTATTGTAATAACTATGGATGGTGTCAGGTGGGTGCTAGACTCATGGGGGAATCACTTTATTTATGTTTTTTTTTCTTCTTTTTTAGAGAGAAGAAGGGAGAAGGAGAGAGATATTAAAACATCGATGAGAGAGAACATTGATTGGCTGCCTACTGCATGTCCCCCACTGGGGATCTGGCCCACAACCCAGGCATGTGCCCTGACCAGAATCGAACAAGCAACCTCCTGGTGCATGGGTCAACACTCAACTGCCAAGCCACACTGGCCGGGCCATGGGGCAGGGGGAATCTCTTTATAAGTCATATAAATATCTAACTGCTTCCCCCCCCTCTAAAAATCAATCAATAATAAAAAAATGTTTTAAACCATTCTGAGTCTATGGACACTCATGCAGTCTCTCTCTCTCTCTCTCTCTCTCTCTCTCTCTCACACACACACACACACACACAGCTCCCAGCTCCCTTCATCAGGAAATGGAGCCGAGCTGAGCAGCTACCTGCGGGATCGGACTGCTGAGGTCTCCAGGGGGCACCTGAACTTAGGTCTCCCACAGAAGAGAGGTTACCAGACTTACCGGACTGTGGGAGCAGACCCCGGGTCTCTGGCTGGGAGTCAGTGAGTCTGAGTTCAACCAGGAGGAGCTGGAGCTGAGGCCTCTCAGCAGAACTGGGACCACAGAAAAGACCACCCTCCCCCCTGGGTAGGCAGGGGCCAGACAGGTGGGGGCTGGGATCCTCCGCTGTGATGCTATCAGTCTGGAAGCATCCTTGTTTACCCTTGAGGCACCACTCTAAGGTTCCTTTAAATTGTAGTAGGACCCCCCCTGGCTGGTTTAGCTCAGCGGTTGGAGTGTTGGCCTGTGGACCAGAGAGTCCCGGGTTTGGTTCCCACTAGGGGCACGTAATAAATTGTAGTAGAATCCATGTGACCTCAAGTTTTCCATCGGAACCATTTTTTTTTTTTAGTCTCACCTGAGGACATTTTTCAACTTTTTTGTTCAGATAGAGCAGGAGGGAAAGAGAGAGAGAGAGGAAGAGAAACATCAACATGAAAGGGACACATCGAGTGGCTGCCTCCCACATGCACAACCCAACCAGGGCCGGCCGGGGACTAACTGCAACCGAAGTATGTGTCCTAAGCAGGAACCAAACCCGGTCTCTCTGGACCACAGGCCGATGCTCTAACTGCTGAGCCAAACTGGCCAGGGCATCAAAACCGTTTTTGAAGCGTTCTATTAAGTGCATGCCCGTTGCTGTACCCTCATGCTCCAGAATCCCCCTCCTCTTGTACGTGCCTGGGCTTGTGCCCTGACTGGGAATCAAACCAGGACCTCTCAGTCATTGGGGCAATGCTTAATCCACTGAGCCACACTGACTGGGCTATTATTTATTGATTTATTTACATGATTTGAGAGAGAGAGGAAGGGAGAGGGAGAGAGAATGCCCAGGGTTACAACAATGCTGTCTCAGCATCCAGTTTACACTTTCCTGAGAGTTTTCTACAATTTTAATTTTTTCTCAAAGCTTTGGGCTCTCTTTAGTTTTTAAATTGTTATTTATTGATAAGAGAGAGAGAGAGGCATCAATTTGTGTTTCCACTTATTTGTGTATTCATTGGTTGACTGTATGTACCCTTGACTGGGAATCAAATCCTCCACCCTTCAGTGCAAAGGGCCAACACTCTAACCACCGAGCCCCCGGGGGCCAGGGCACACGTGGGTTATTTGAGCACATCATACTTGGTCTTCCGATTCTTCCCCTTCCTGCTCCTGGGATCTCTTTTCAGGAACCCAAGATGCTTCATTTTCTTCATTGATTTTAAAGAGAAAGGAAGGGAGAGGGAGAGAGATAGAAACATCCAGGAGAGAGAAAGAACATGGATTAGCTGCCTCCTGCATGCCCCCCACTGGGGATCAGGCCCACATCCTGGGCATGTGGTATAACCCAGAATGAAACCGGCAACTTCTTGGTGCATGGGTTGATGCCTGCCGGGCTCAAGATGCTTCTTAACCTTTACATAGACCTACCTTTCTCCACTTGCACCCTCAGCTCCGGGCAAACCCAGCTCCTGGAGGCTGAGACCCAACCCTGCACATGGCCTTTGGTCTCTGGTAGCATGGACACGGCTTATTACACACTGTTGCTGTGTGAAGGAGCAAGCACCCGGACTGGAACCTCTCCTTCTTCCTCGTGGGGCCCGGGGTGCCCTCCAGGTCCGAGCGCCTAGGGCCCAGCGCTCACTGTGGGAACTGAAACCGACGCACCCCCCGCCGCGCATGCGCCGTGGGACGCACACTCCTTTGACCTGCTAGTAGCGAAGGCCCAGAACGAGCGCTCAGGAGGAACCTCTGACCTTTCCCACTTACTGCCTAAAAGAATGTGAGGCAGAGGACCAGCTCCTGCTCCGGCGGGAGAGAGATCACCATAGATAAGTATAGTTTACTATAAACTAGAGTGTCCCATAGCCAAGGACCTTTGGTTCAAGTCCTCTGTGTCCCATGGTTTCCAAGGGGCCCAGCAAATGTTTTACAAACAGGAACTCCCGTCCTTTTCTCTAAATGGCCTTACTTCCCTTTGAGGCCCTAGGTCCCTGCTTCCCCCTCCTTGGTCCAGAATGACAGACATACCCCACGTGGCCTCCCTGTTTGGGGAAGTTTCACGCTTTTGTGGATTCCCCGTGCACAGCGTCTTAAAATTGGATTTTCTCCTGTTAATCTGCCTGGTGCGATTTCAACGATTCGACCAGCCGGAAGATCCTATTTTCTTATATCACTAAACTTTTGCTGTAAGGTGTAAAAGGCCCGTAATAAAGCATATCGAGCCCTGGCTGGTTTGGCTCAGCGGTTAGAGCGTCGGCCTGCGGTCCAGAGAGACCCGGGTTCGGTTCCCGCTAAGGGCATGTACCTCGGTTGCAGTTTGTCCCTGGCCCTGGTTGGTCGTGCGGGTGGCAGCCACTCGATGTGTCCCTTTCACGTCGATGTTTCTCTCTCTCCTCCACTCTATCTGAACAAAAAATGGAAAAAAAAATGTCCTCGGGTGAGGATTAAAAAAATAATAATAATAAAAATAAAGCATATCGAGGCTGATCCCGCTGAGGACAGTCCTGATCCCACATTTGTGTCTTCGTCTTCATTCCCACCGCTCGAACTCAGGGACTCGGCTCTCCAGGCTGGTTCCTGGCAGACTTTAGAGAGAGAGGAAATGAAAGGGAGGGAGACAGAAACATCGAAGAGAACATCAACTGGCCGCCTCCT